TAAATAGAGTCATTAATGATAAATGCCATTTAATGGAGCCAGAGCAGTGAGATAAAAGGATCTTTCTTTATGGTGAGGTTTTTCCTATACAGAGAATCATATATACCTAAAACCCAAACAGGTTGATAGGCTACTTTAGTCACTGTCCAGCCAATAGGAAGATGAATTGAACATTCATCTTTTTCTTCCAGTCAAATGCTAAACTTCAGTCTGCCTGAATGCACCAGGACAATACAGAAGTGGTTGTTCCAGGCAAATGTTTGGCCCGGTATTAACTAGCACAGGCTAATGACATTTCAGGTTCTCCCCATGTTCTGTAAATGCTATCGTCCAGGTGAATAAAGTATCCATCAGGCAGCTTTAGGGGTCTGAATAGTCAGGGTAGAGCTGCATGTCATCTGGGAGAGCAGGTAAGGACCAAAGGAGAGGCTTTAGCGGGGAGCAGGGCATTTGTTCTGCAGCACAAGGACTAACATACTTCTGCAGCTGTGGTTTAGCAGCCATCACAGGGACGGATGGGATTCACCAAGGACAGGAAAGTCTCCTCCCTAATTCAGGCACAGCTGAAAAAACAATCTGATGCTAGTTTAGTGTCCAGGGAAAGGAAGGAGCAAAGATTCTTTTATGGGAGCAGAAACAGAAGAATGAGTAGAAACAGAAAGCATGAGGAGGCAAGTATACATGGCCTGCTGGAGCTGGAATCCAAGGCAACTCCTGGGGGTGGGTGGCATTCCAGTCTGCTGCCCTCCGTTCAAAATCACCCATCCCATCATAGGCAGCTGTCATCTTTCCAGCAGAAGATGAGATTCAGAAACAAGAAGTGGCTGTGGCTCATCCCCTCACCTCCAGTGAAGCATCCTTAATGATGTTTTTTTAAGGCACAGCAAGAACTTCAGGGCGAAGTGTAATGCGTTTTGAGGTGTTACAGGAAAAAAAACAACCAAGCAACCAAAAAAACCCACACAAGAACAATGTTCTTTTGGCTACACATTTGAAACACTCGCACACAGGAGGCTCAGGATTCCACTGGCTAGGAAACGCTGGTATACAGAGGCGCACGTTACACTTCTGGGACCCAACATCCTGAGGATGGATCTGGACAAACCGGGAGGCCAGCCTAGGGGAAGGCAGGAAATCCCTGCAGATGAGGCAGAACAGCGAGGCAGGCAGACAAGGCTGGAAATCTGTTTCTCTCCCAGGAGATGGCAGTAAAGGACAATTGCCTTACAGGAGGCGTAGTGCAGTGAAGTGGAAACTTTGGTGAGAGCCAAACAGCTCCTCGGGCAGCCTGCGCTGCCACCTTCGCCAGTCGCTCCTTGTTACCAGAAGCAAAGCTTTATTCTTAGCGTCAGTGCTCCTAGCAAGGGTGAGGATATCAGTCTTTTACATTTCCATACAGTAGGTAAATTTATAAGCTTTCTGCTTACCATGGCAGGATTCCACTCACAGCCTCATCCAGACTGGAATGATCCCAAGAGGTTTCTCCTCCAGCCTCTGCTCACAGCAGAGTCAACACTGCATTCACACTGGGTTGTCCTCCACTTTGAACAGTCATGCCTTGAGACCCTCCATGGACAGACACTTCCCAGCCTCCTGAAGAAACCTCTCCTTTCAATGCTTGTTGATCATATTAGTGTCCCTGGCTGGAAACTTCCCAGTTTGAATTCATGATTGTGGCCTCTTGCTATCTGGCTGCAGACCGCAGTAAAGAGCCTGGATCCATCTTGTTGGCAACCCTTTCTTAGGTGTTGAAAAGCTGCTGTCAAGGCTCTCATAAGTCTTTCCTCCTCCAACTGAGCAAGTCAAAAGCCCTGCCCCTGTCCTCATATGCGATGCAGGATTCAGGAAGGTGCACCACCCTCTCTGAGCTCAGACTAGACTTCACCCCAGAAAAAGCCTGGCAGCCTCATGCTGCTTCCTACAAGGAGAAGGAAGGCAAGGATTTTATTCCTTTACTTCTTTTTAATTTAATTATCTCCATTCTTCTCCAAGCTCTTAAGACTCTCTACTGCTCCTTGAAGAAATAAGGATTTCCAAAGCACACTGTACAGGTAACTGCAGCAACTTCATACACATTTTAGGACCAGTTTTGTCTCAGAAGAGGCCAGTGTCCAACTAACAAGGGACTCAGGATACAGAAAAGGAGACAACTGGTTTTACAGCACCCCAACACAAAACCTGCCCCTGTCCCAGTCTTACAGACAGCCAGAGGTCAGAAAGGTCATTCATCCCTGAAGTGAATCTGGTATGCCATGGTGTGGTACAGCTCTCCTCAGTCACTGCACTTCAAAAGCAAGCTGTGCTAGAGTATTTCCTTGCTGCTAATGTTGCAGGACAAAGGAACAATAGCTATGAGTCCTTTGCCATTTCCTCAGAGCCTACGGTAAGCCAGAGTAGTATTCAAACACTCTGGCAAAAACAGCCAAAATATGCCTTATTCTGCTCTGTGACTCATTGAGCAGTCATTAGGAATAGTCAGGGATTTAGATTAAAAGTGACTTGCCAGGCTGTCAGGTTATGGAGTTCATTCCTAGCTTGACTATCTACTTCTTGCCACTCTTGCATGTATTTACCTTCCCAAACTTATTTATCCTGCCATTTTTTATAAAGCATAGTGAAAGGTGTGTAGAAATCTGAAGGGAATCAGATAGTACAGTAGCACACCACTGGTGACAAAAACCTGCCAAGTGAAGCAAGTGCCTGAGGGAGGAACATATTTCGTCTAGCTCAAATGTCAAATCAAATCTTCCCCCGTACGCACTGTACCGTAGTATCCACCACATCTCACCTTTCTGAGCAAGTCAAGTGTCTGTTTTGTTCCTCAAAGTCACTAGGAGATAAGCTGCAGACAAGCCTATTTTAATAAAAGAGCCTGTGTGCACCTCTGTGTTGAAAGCTCTGCCTGCTGGGGTGGCTCCTCTAAGGACAGCCTTGCTAAGAGCACAAAATGCTTGTGCAGAAGCCAAGTCAATCCTGGACTGCTCTCCCAGCTTGGCACACTCTCAGGGTTGCCTGGGGAGCCCAACCTCCTCCGAGTCACTCGCAGACTTCCAGCACAACAGCTCTGTTTCAGATGGAGGTTGCCATTTCTTGTTGGTTGAGTGGGCTGACCTGCCACTCAATTATGAGTTAGTCAGGGAATATTTCCTCATCTCCTGTATCACTGAGACAACATTTAGCAACAGCGCTGCAGGATCTGTGCTGTCCCACCTGTTTGCATCAGCGCTAAGCCAGATCTGGCCCAGCAGGGATGCTGCCATGACTGACGGGAACTCTGCCATCTACCTTGCTGAAAAATGAACCTCACCCTTCAGATTCAGATTTTCTGGATGCTGCTGTGTGAACTGGGCTATTGAGGAGAGTAGCAAAGGCTTGGCCTCACAAATTCACTCCACCAGCTGAAGAGTGAATCACTGCTCAAAGAGAACTGATAAGCAGCACTAATTGGTAGCCTCAGTGAGAACCATCAGTTCATTTTGAGGAAGGAGAATGAATCACCGGCTATTTTACAGCAACAGCACAGGTTACTTGCTTACTTTTTCTTTCTCCCTCCTCTTTCTTTGTTTTTGGTCTGTTTTAGAAACACCACTCAGCTGAAGCTGACCCACCAATATGCATCAGGCTTTGCTTTTCTCAGGCTCACACACGTATGTGTCATTTGGGTCCTGCATGGATAGCAAGCAGGCTATTCTCTTAAAGTTGCACCAGCTGAGAAGAGACCATACGTCAGCAGGCAAAAGTCAGTGTGCTGGCAGTTCAGGAGCTAAAGTTCATGTTTACCTTAGTGGAAAGTCCCTACACTGAACGGGCTGGACCCTGCATGTTGCAATGAGTGAGCAGCCTTTCTAGTCAGAGAAATAGATGGACACTCACTTCACACAGAAAAATGGAGACACAAATCCCTCCTGCATGGCTTCAGTAATTTAAACAAAAAGGTCTAATGATTCATTCTGTAAAAGCACTATAAAAGATAGAGTAGTGTAACAAAATCTGAAGTTAATACCACGCTCCTCAGGCTGGTGTGGCATGTGGGTGGTAGGACAGCCCTGTTATTACTGCAGAAGAGACAGCTGGTATCGACAACCCTCTGGCCTGCTGGTGGGGCAAATCAGAGGAATGGGTCTGTCCCCACAAAGAAGTTCAAGATGAACAACTAGAGGCATAAAATCTATGAGTGAAATCCCATTGTGGCTATTCCTACCCCAACTCATGCAACCGGAGATTCTCAGCAGCCCCATCTCCACACCTTGCCTTTCCTGAGCACGTCCATGCAGTCTGGGCAGCCGTGTCCTTCTGGAAGGGCACTGAGGCCACGGGCAAAACAACGTGGGGAAGTTTACACTGCAGCTTCCCCTCACTGGCTGAGCCACTGCTGAGAGACTCCTCCTCTGTGCATTACTTGTGTGTGTAGGTAAAAACACGACATGGATTTCATTACTTTTATTTACAGACCAGTAAGAAAAGAGGATAAAAAAACCCCCCCACCTTTGATTCATTTGCTACATTTAAAACAAATACAGTGTGGTTTGATAAGACATACAAACCCCTTCGTTCAGAGAAGGCAAAGCAAGCAGTTTCCAGTGAAATCAACTCCTCGATTACAAACACTATCAAAACTAGAAAGATCTATAATACACAGAAAGTGCTACCAGGGAAGTCTTTTACTGCTACCACGAAAGACTGACAGAAACAAACTAATAAAATCCATAAATGTTTAAGGCCCATAAACTACCTTGTTCCTGTGTCATTGATACAAGATTTACATCCCTGGATGTGCAACATGGAAGCTGCTCCACCTGCATTACAGAGCTGAGCCATCTGATGTTGACATCCTCTGGCTACAACCCAGATACGTAAATGAAGATGGAGCTGGCAGGTTATTTGGTCCCATTCTTATACACAACAGTTGTACATCCTTACACCAAACGTTGTATGTATTTTTTTTTCAGATGCAGCTGGCAATCCACTTTTTTCCCTGGTGAACACAACAGAACTAGTTCTTTTTATGCCCCAGCTTCCAGAATCAGGTATGTCAGATATAAACTCTGTTCTCAGTACAAAAAATCTGTAGATTTCATAGTAGCAGAGGAAAAGTTTAAAATGTTGATCACAGTGAACCTTTAATGCCCCAAAATCAGAAGACATGCACACCTCATTCTCTTTCTGGGTTTTTACATCATTCTTAAGATTTAAAGGCTCATTATGTCCAGCATTTGAAATGAACAACCATGATGCAACAAAGCTATCTGTGTCTCAGGCCACAGTCCATTTACATCCAAGTATATTATTAAGTACACTCATAATCTTAACCTTCTTAGGGAAAAAAAACCCACCAAACCACAAAAATACCTCAGAAAACCAAATACTATCTTTTCCTGATCCTCTGTTATCTGTTTCCTCCACTGCTTTGACAATTCCTCTCCCTACCCAAACTCATCTCCACCTCCCCAGCTGCTCTCTCATCCTTTATTTTCTTTCATTTCTCTCTCCCTCATCTACTTGCTTTTCCATCCTTCCTTGGCTTCCTTCCACACATAGCACGAAGCTCTAGAAAACAAACTCATGCCTGAGAACAAACTTCTGCTCAATCATCAAAGATTTTCCCTCATCCTTGCATTTCTTTGACCCAATCTGATTTTATAAAGCGCTGGAAGTTTTTGCAGAGAAGAGCACTCAGTCTTGGGAAAGGGGCTGGCGCAGGGGTGTGGAGCTGGGACTGTTGGTCCAAGAAGTTTCTCTGATGCAGGTCTCAAATTTAATCCCAAGAAAGCAGCAATGGCCTCACATCCCCCTCTGTGGGGTGCATGGAGCTGCTCTAGCGGACGAAGTTTGCCACCTGTGTTGCCACTCCAAAGGGAGCGGAATAGGCCGTCGCTAATCCTTGCAAGCCAATCACCAAGTAACGACATCCCTTCTGCAGAGCTTTGCCGACGTTCTGCGAAGAGAGATGGGGAAAGGGGACAAAAAAATTGAGAGGCCGTAGAAAACACCTTCACATAAAATCGTTCCGACAACCAGTGTCACCGTCCCAGAAAATGAACTTCTCCCACAGCTAATGAGGGCTTGAGCGTGGAAAAACATTTTACTATCTATTTTTACATAGAAATACACACCCACAGGGTATAGTTAAACTGAACGGATGCAGCCTCCACAGGAAGCCAGGCTTTCACGTGGGCTCCTATTCAAGAATAAAATTAGTTCAAATTCACCCTAGTTTGTAGAGGTGCATGTTTCCCACACACACATGTTCTGGCTGTGTTAGTAACTCTAAAAGCACATAATGTGTTAAAACTGGAGCGGAACAAAAAGAGAGTAATCGCTGAGAATACATTTGTGGAAATTTTATCGCCTTTTGTCAAAATAAGATTTTTTTGGCCGAAATAAGAATGTTTCAATCCACTTTCATGTCTGTACATGTTTAAAAACTCGTCTGTGTACTGCATAAGAGATAACTTGCTACCGACTATTTAATTAAAAACATTAATCTAATTTTGATTTAACTTCTGATGGTTTTTGCTCCTATGGCTGGGGAATAAATAGTGTGGTCAGTTGGGGAGGAATATCATAATTAATTGTTAGTAACTCTTCATGGTTGTGTGGAACTAGATCAAAAGCATCTCTTGTAACATGGAAAACACTAAAACAGAGTAAATACTCTAAAATCAGTGAAATACAGTCAATATTATATTTCTTGGTTTTCTTAAATCTGGATTACAGTGGTACCGTCACATGAAAACCTTCAGCTGTTGTGATAGTACTATATAGCTGAATTTTGCTTGTTTTATTCTTATGGAAATTTACTTGAAGGGAGTTAAGGTGCCAAAATAAAAAGGCAGACCGATCCTGGGGGCAGAGCCTGAGGCCAGAGGACGAGACGCGTGGCCCTCCCTTCCCACATCTGCCCTGGTCTCACTGTGTCACACTAGAGACTTCTTTCCTCCTTCCTGCCCTGTGTGCAACTTTACCTACCCAGACCTTACCTGCACTTTCATGAGTTGTTCTTTATGCCAGGGCCAAACTGGCAAACCTTCCCTGTGGGAATGTCATCTGACCAGAACGAAAGGGAATATGCAGTGTCCAAGAACTGGCCTGTGCTCTGAGCATTGTTATAAGTGCCCCTATACCAACAACACATACAGCAATAGGACCAGAAGCAAAGTTATGACCTGCTGTGATGTAACCACACTCACTAAACTGCACCGTATAGATTGAGCCTGCTGGCTTGAGACAGCTTCCTACTGCATGTGACCTGGAAATCACAGTGCTGGAAACTCAAAGTATCAAATGCATCATGAAAGAATGAAATATTCTATTCAAGTCTTTATGAAAGAGTAGGATTTCAGAGGGAGCTCCTGACTATGCTGACATCAATTTCAAAACTCAATTTCAAAAGTAAGTAACTTTGCCGAGCTGACTGGCATTTTCTGCATGTCAGACATAGCAAGCATAGCTTTACCAAAATCACCACTTTTAAAAGAATGCAGTAGAAAGTCATGGCTCACACTGACATCTGCAATCTCTGCAGTAAGAAAAGATTCCTGACAAGAGAAAGGCTTTTCTTGCTAACACAGAAACTATTTTTTGCTGCAAATATCCACGACATACCTGAGATGTACTTAAGTGACATAAACAAGAGACAAATAATTGAATTCTTCCACATAGCACTTCTGTAACCAAAGACATTCATCTTCTGGTGGGAAGAAAATCAAACCACCAGACTGTAGGACTGGTGACTTCCCACACAGAGCAAAAGAACAGTTTTGATCCAAAATAGCTGTTACAGATGAAGAACATGTTGCACTTTTTTCTGTAACTCACAGCAGTGATTTTCAGGGGGCACCTAGAAAGCAAACTCTGTCAAGGAATGTACGGGAGGGATGTTTACCATTTCTTTCGGTCACTTCAGTAGAAGTGGAAAAAAATGCAGGCCAGTTAACTGGAATAGTGTTAAAACAATGACGCCGAGGGAAACGCAGAACCAAGCAAGGCAAAGTACCCGTCACATGAATCAGCTTAGTGTCATTTTCACTCCGAAGAGGCAGATTTTGTACTCTTTGATCCGGGAGAGGGTCGGTGTCCGGCCCTCCCCAGCAGCACTGGCTCCTTCCCAGGAAGGTCCAGAGCAAGCCCGAGGGCTGACCCCGCCTCGGAGCTGGGCACTGGCACTGAAATGCCCGAGGGACAAGGGGCACTTCCCAGAGCCCCTCGAAACAGTCGGTGCCGAGACTCCGCCGCCCGCCCCCTCCGCGGGTCCCCGCGCCGAGGATCCCTGTGCCGGGGATCTCTGTGCAGGGGATCCCTGTGCCGAGGATCCTTGTGCTGAGGGTCCCTGTGCTGGGGTTCCCTGTGCCGGAGACCCCTGTGCCGAGGGTCCCCGCTCCGGCCGCCCCGGGCGCGCTGTGCCCTCACCTTCCCGTACTTCTTCAGCCTCTTCCCGTAGGGCCGCTTGGCGGGGGCCCGCGGCGGGCGCAGCGGCTCGTAGGAGCCGGGCAGGACGGCGAAGCGCACCTTCCTGGACCCGGTGCCCTCCTCCTCCTCCTCCAGCGCCGCCGCCCGCGGGACCCCCGCGCTGCCCCCAGGAGTTGCCGCCGCCGCCGCCTCCTCCTCCTCTCCGGGCAGGATGGAGACCTGGTCGTCGCCGGACCCGCGGCGGGAGAACCTTCCCCTCACCTTGGCGCCCAGCCGCGCACCCACAGTCATGGTGCCGCCGGGCGCCGACCCGTCTGCGCCAACCTCCGGGCGCTTCCTCCGCCGCTGCGCCACAGGTGTGGCCGGAGGCGGCCGCTGCCCCCTCCCCGGGGCGGGACGGCTGCGGGAAGAGGCGCCCCGGCCCCCCCTGGCAGTGCGGACACCGGCCCGGGGCGGGGGGCGAGGGCTGGCGGTGCCCCCGGTCCGGACCACGGTCCCGCCGCCGCTCTGGTGCGGGGAACTTGTGTTTCAGCTTGCTGAAGAAGCGGGGACCTGCCGCCGGGAGCCCGGGATTCGACCTCGTCAGCTCAGAGGGAACGGGGGGGTCGCTGCCGCGGAGTGTAGCCCCCGCACCGCCCCCGAGCTGCTTCGGCTGTCGCGCCGCGACGGCTGGAGAAACCCTTGGAAGCTCCTTCTGTGGCACCGCACGCACCGCACTGGCCGACGGCAGCACCGCTTTGGGAGGTCACGCTCTTTTTTCGTCAAAGGAAAAAGCCAGGCTCCGGCTCCCTGGTCATCCTTCTGCTATCGGTGTTCCTACTAAAGCCTCGGATGAACAGCCTCTCCTGCGTCCAGGGCTGCGTTGGGCTCCCCCTGGCCAAGGGGAAAGTGCCTAAGCCTTTGTTGAAAGGCAGAGTTTCTCAGCGGCTTCTTCCCAGATGCTGCGGGAGGCCGATAACCGCGTGCCTCTGCAGCTGGGCGTGCTGCAGTTCAGCAACTACGCTTCCTGAGCGGTGTTCCTAAGCTGGGGTAGATCAAGAAAAGCAAAATTGTATAGGGAGGAGCGATATAATTTATTCAACCAGTTGGTATATTTATCAATATTTGATACTTATACTAACGCTTTGGACAAGCAGATGCAACACAGGGACAAACTAATCCTTTACCATGGACTTTTCTTACCAAGGAACAAAGCCTTGAATCTCTGTCTCCCCGAGATGCTCCCATAACACTCAGCAAGTAACTCCTGCACCTAGCTTTGTCATCTGCCCCAAGGATGGTGGTTCACCACTTTCTCAGCTCCAGCCAGAAAGGTGTGATGGCCAAGTGGGCCAGTCTCACCGAAGGGTGGGAGGCATGAGCTAAGTCTCAGGTCTGTCGCTAAAGAAGTGCTCTATTCCTTTCCCTGTTTAATATTAATGGTGTCACTGCTCCTGTTACCATCACCATGTTTTTAAGTCTCCAGAAGGCTGAGGCGGAGACCTAAACCCAGGACAACGTTTTGTGCTCCGAGTACACCCCAAACAAACACTTGCCACAGACCGCACGTGGCACTCAGAGCTTCTCCTTCCTCTGGGCTCTGGCTGTGGCAGCGCCTGCAAGGCCCATCTCTGAGCTACCTCTTGGGGTGAGATGCTGAGCTTTCATCCTGGAGCTGCAGGTGCGTCCTGAATGCTGAAGAGACAATGAAACATAGTAGCGCCAGAGCTCCATGCACGGTGCAGAGCCGGAAGCAGCAAGGTATAGGAGGTGAATTTTACACTGCTGCAGATTTTCATGTGCTACTTTCTTAGTTAGTCTGAGGGTTGAAGTAATTGCTTGATGCTGATTAAGTAGCAGCATCAAGAAATAAAATATCAATAATCTGTTTAGCAGCTGCAAAATGGGATCTTTCATCTTGTTAACCGGAAGCTACCTTGAAAAATCTTAAAGAAAAAAAATGCATTAAATATTTTTCAGGGGCTTTGGAAAGTGTTTATGTATAGGTTTTCTATTTATAGATCCATTAGTGAACGTATACGTGCCTCTAAATGAGAAGCAGAAATAGTGAAAGATTATCTGTCTTCTCAAGAGGGACAGGCCTTTCCCCAGACTGGGTTTGTAATTCACAAGTTTGTGTCATTTTCCAAATTCAACTACCAAAACCTCAGAGAATACATTTCTCAGCTGAGACTTACTGTCTCCATTTACGTGGCAGCAGGGGACTCAGTGTGTTCTGAGATGAACAGGTCCAAGGTACCCTTAGGTGTATGACACTTGGCATCAAAATCTCACATCTTAACTCATGGAATTTTAGGATCATCGTAACTACATGGTATTAATGACACCACTTGCTTCTCCGGCAGTGTTGTTTACTCAGTGGAGCAGGAGTGAACATTTACAGTCCTTTCATTGACCTATATACATTTTAATGTTTTAAATTGGACTGTGTGAAAAGGGATGCACTAAGTTCGGAAGTGTCTGTGTACCTTAAAGAAATAATTCAAAAAACCATCCCAACCCAAACCATGCAGTAGTGCAACTGCTCACCCTACACCCACCCCAAATACCCCCCAGAAATGCTGCCATGAAATTACAGTTGAATATGTGAGCCTTCTGAAGATTTGAGGCATCCCTATCCCTGCCTGGACCTGTGAAACATGACACAGCATTTAAAACTCTTCCAAATTTCTCAAGTTAAAGCTGTGCTGATGAAACACCACACCGATCCCCTCCCACATGGAAGCCAAGAACACTTGGATCCAAAATGCAGCTTATCCCACTCTTACCCAAGGAGTAACTTATATGTAACAGGTCCATTACACGGTAGCTGTTCAAAGACCCAAAACCCAGGCACTGAGGATTCAGTATGCACCATCTCAATGATTTTCATATTAAGAACACTCGCCAATAAAAACAAGAAGTTCTGAAAAAACTCTCTTTCTTGGATCTTCCCATGTTATTCCTGCCAGGGGCAGGAGATTTGGAAAGCCAAATGCTGCATTTGGATGCAGCTACACCTTTCACACTCAGATTATGCCCTTGCTGAAGCATCTGGTGTATTTGCAATGGAGAGCACTCGGTGGTTCACAGCTCATATTCCAGCAAGGCAAAAGGGAGGAGGACAGCAGAGTTTGGGAATCAGGGCATTTCCCACTGCTGGCAGTCACTGGAAATAATGCCATTTGCAAACTGCCCCTATATATAAACATTAAATTGGCACTTTGTTTCATGGGAGAGTTAAACTGAAATTTTTAAGCTCTCTCCTCTGGAAACGCAATCTGTGTTTACTGGAACATTAATACATCTCTGGTTATATGGAGCAGTTAAAAGCAGTGACAATCTAGGGCAAAGTTAGCCATGGAAAAACAGCGCCTGTAAAGCGGGAAGCTATCCTAAGTACTTAATCTACTGTCTCACAGCATGACCTATATTTTTTCCACTGAACCTTCTGAAAAGGCAAAGGGTTTTGTTTCATGACTAAGTTCATACACAACCTTGCATTAGCACCGTGGTTATGTTCCATTAGTGTATTTTCAAGGATAACTGAACATTTATGGACATTTATGGGTAAATTGAGCAGACACACAACCCCCTCGCAAGGCTGATTTTTGGTGAATTTCTGAAAATCTCTTGGACGTCTAGTTCTAAGAAGTTCTAAACCACTGACAGTTTCTGGACAGCACAGGATCACTGAACTGCTACAATGTTAATCCTGAATTCACATCATGTTGAAGATGAAGCCTGTGCACCTTTAAACTATTTTGCTACCCGTGGTAATTATTGCACTTTTATAAAGGGCAAACAACAAGTATTTTAGTATGAGAACTGTTCAAGTAAGTTTTAATAGAGTGCACCAGTGAATCAAGATGACTTGCATCAGATTTTGTTTCAATGAACATCAGATTAAAAAAAAAAAAAGAAAAGGGGCTACAGTTCTTTCTTTCCAAACACCACCCTTTTTCTAAGGCAACAATACACGTCCATTTTCGAACATAACTGTTACATAGGAAAGCTACATCACAGTACAGTATGTAAAGTCCATCTCGGTCAAGAAGCCATTAGAGAATGGCACATTTACTACACTTACAGCCTTCTAACTTAGGGTTACAGAGTTTACCACAGCTTTTTTTTTAATTTTTATTTTTTAAAGTGACAATTTCTTAATGAACTTTCTATTCTTCACAAGAGTGTGCAGATGGGGCCCATATGTTGATATTACAGTAATTACGACATTAAATAACATTGCACAACCAACCTCTATGGTTAATTCAGTACAAAAGAACAAGTATTAAAATGTACCAGTACTAGTGGTTTTACACAGTTTATAATCATTAATTATGAAGGAAAAAAATGTGGGGCTGTTTTTTTTTTCTTTTCTGTAGGCAAGTGCCTAATTACAAAGCTGCACATTACAGGCATAATGATGTGGAATAAATACAAGAAATCTGGTAAAATATTAAACACAAACAGGTTACATGGGAACAAACTGTACAACCACAAAAGCATAAATCAACAATTTATCATTATAAACAATGTATGTTTAGCTGTAAAATATTACGTGGAATTGCATGTACTCTTTGAGGGGCACATGTTCCAAAAGCCAAGCTAATTCCTGAGGTGGTATTATTAACTTATACAATTGGTCAACACTCCAGATTATCTTGTGCTATTAAACAGTCCCAATGTTAATATATTTCCATAAAATGGAATTTGTAGTATTCTGAAGGCAGCAAACAAGTGATATTTTACACCATGATATTCAAATGAAATAATTCCGGTTCTCCATTTTGGTGCTACATTTGTTAATGGGCCATGGGAGTAAGGACTGGAATTTGCAGACAGAACACCACTTACGCCTGGTTTCTGTTCCCCCACAGCTCTGAGCTGGCCCAAGGCAAAACAAAGTTTCTAAACTGTAAGTGCCAACACTGTAAACAAGTTTGTCTCTTTTTTCAACTAAACACTGTCCAATAACGAGGATAAGAGCCAAAGATAAGCAGGAACAGTCTCGTGTAGAACAAAAGCCAATTCCTCGACTTTTGGTTCAATTAATGAACAATCTTTAAATAATTAAAAATGGTCATGCTACAGTTGTGAAATTGTGCATTTGACTCAGGACACAAGTTTTTTAAAAAACGCATGGTAGAGGTAAGACTTATAAAAACACCAAAAATGTAAATGATAGGGAAGAACTTTTCCAACTCAAAGCATCAAACATACATTTCTGTGCAGAAATCTAGACAACTATACAAGATCTGAATTTAAGCAGTCATCTTTTTATTATACAACTCTATGAACATAAAATGAACAGAATGCTCTATATACTTACCTGTACATGTGAACATAACTTCTTTAGCTACAGTTATTTAATATAGGTCATACTGGATTTAACTTTACAATTCTGAATAACTATGTATAACCTTATTGCAATAAGGGCAATTTCTACATGGGGAGTTTCACAGGCCAATCACATTAGGCGTAACCAGTACATTCAAAGTGTAGATCATGTATGAATCTTCCCTGATCCCAAAGAATTTAGGTTCTCTTTACAGCTTAAGCTCGTTCGCTATCTTGGATGCAATGTTCTTAAATGCGATAGAAGTCCCAGATATTCTCTTGAAACGAACTCCATTGAGCGACAATCGTGGCAGTTTGCAGACTTCCATCTCCCACTGAACAAGGCTGTCTTGTCGTGCATCGCCGTGAACACAGAAGAGCAAAAACCTCTCCTTTTGTTCGTAATCACAGTTATTAGCATCTAACACTTTCCGAATCTCTCTCATCATATCGTTCGGGTCCATAGAACTAGTGGTCTTCATACTCCATGTGAACCGCAAGGAGCGTGGCTTCGAATCTTTACTATCCTCCTTCTCTCTGTCTTTTGGCTCCCCAGAAACACTCCTGGAACAAGTCACATACAGAAAAGTCAAACCCAAAAGCAGTAGAACCAAGAGATAGAAGAGAAATACAGTTGTTGAACAGGGGTTTCTAAACTGCGCCTGACCCGCCACTAGTCACACGCAAGCTAGTTCCAAGAGTGAGATAGATACTGCTGGAACAGTTGTGCCCCATCTCCTGCACACGTGTGCCTCAGCACAGCACTGTGCCACAGTAGTGGCACACAAGCGAAGCAAGTTTGGAAACCCCTGCTCTACAACGTTCTGATGACAACATGTGCAATGGTAACTGCAGCGGACACACGTTACTCCATACTGCTCCAAAGAAAGTGGAATCTATGTAAAAGCATGACTGATTTTCTGCTGATTTCATGATCTGGAGCATGCCATACACCAACAAAACTGAAGTTGAGGGACACAGTCCTGAAGCGTAAATCATACTGTAAAAGCAGCAGAGGAAGAAAACCCACCCTGTGATTCACAAGTCTTCAGTTAACTCCCTCCCCATCTTTTCTGCCTTTTCCCCCTTTTGCGTTTATTATGTATTTTTGACCTCTCTCTGTGTCAAAAAAGACCTTATAATAACATGTTTTATTTTAACTGATGAAGCAGAATTTTGTGCTGTAATTTGGTTGTAAAGAGCTTGAGGTCACCATTTGAGTACAGGGCCAGCAGCCTTTTCACAGAAGAAACATCGACATGTAGACACAAAGTATTTTATTTGATACAATGACTCAGACAAAATTGCAATGGAGTAATTTCCAATTAACGTTCTTAGTCTGATGCTTCCTTACCAAGTAGATTACTTATTCCACTGTAGAAAGCATTTTGAGAAACAGCACTCATTATTTTAAAGTCACTCCACAGTTAGCTACATCTGTTCTTGTCCCAGGTACCCTGATGCTGATGCCTCCCCATCTGTCACTGGGGAAAGGTGCTGTTCTCATTTTGGTAAGTCTACAAACCGTCATTTTTCAGAGAGGAGTCAAAACAAGCATTTTTAATTTAACTTTCAGTGTGATCCCCAAAGAACCACATTGATATTAAGGGATAGAGCATGGCAGAGATAAGATCTCAAATGACTTTTTTAGCCCAAAACAGACACTGTAGGATGACAAAAAGCAGAGAAAGCTAGAGAATGAAAGCAAGAGCTGAAAGCAACTTCACACTTTGTTTCATTTGAACACTTGATTAATCTCTTTTTTCTTTCCACATCCAGGAATGACAGCTAATAGACTTTGAATTGAAAAGGGCTAACTTAGATAAATGCATTGTGTATTATACAGTGTATCCTGTTAAAAATGTGCTAGTTTTTTTTTTTTTTAATAGAGGCTTTCTTTTTTGAAAACTAAGTTGATACTTTATGTAAGTGACCAGTTTAGAATGCAAACTACAATGCCTGTTCATTAGAGAGCAGAAAAATAAAGAGTTATGCACTGTGCTTAAGCACACCAAAAATGCAGAACCAAATGCTGAAACATGGCAAAAGAGCAGATATACTGGAAAATGAGCACATGAAGGAATGTTTTATTACTAACAAAGCACCTATAGATTTGTGTACAGTGGTTGCCATACAAAGTCAATATTTGGCAGTCACCACCCCTTTCGTCTGAATGTCACTTGTTTTATTTCTCAGTGCAAGGGACATTCATTCCTCAGGGACTATAAGGTGTTTACTTCTGGCAAACAGCAGCTTTAGTAATGAGCATAGTATGTAACTATAGTAAAAATTTAATAGATACACATATACACACAGACACACAGAAAATATATTACATTTTCCACTGAAACCAAAAGTAAACACCATTAAATATTTATAAGCCAAAACATGATTTGAAGTGCCTAAATGATTGGTTAACTCCTACAAGGGGCTTTATTATTCAAAGAAATATGCTTACATAAAATTTTATATTAAATACTTCGCAAGAAAGCAGATATAAAGGGATGCAAAGAGGGATATAGAGGATCTCACCAAAACCCCCTCCCCCCAAATAAAAAACATTTTTTAAATACAGATTACTTAAGCACTATTCTATTTTACATCCTGATTAAAAGTCTTTAAGAAATCACTTAAACCTTGATGCGAAAGACCTAGGAGCGAAGTATTAATAGTGACTCCTCACCTTGAGGTGTCAGTTCTGCCACTGGCTTCGCCTTCACTTGGATCCCTCAAAACAAAGTTAAGGTTGAGATTCAATGATAAAGGTGAAAAATAAAAGTTAAGAAAACCTACACCTAGAACAATGTTAAATAGCTACTGAAGAAAAAAAAAAGATCAGTATAATAATGTCAAGCCTAATATTGTTTAATAGTATTTTTTCACAGCTGTAATTTTAGTTTCCCTTTATGATACCTTAACTTCTTTCAACTCTGACATGTAATTGTTTGGGTTTGGTTGTTTGTTTGTTTTTTCCAAACTGATGGCAAAATTAACAACTTGTTCTCAACCTACTGCAGACAGAGCAATGGCCACATGTAATTCCAGCAAGCACAGAGGAGCAGTCAGTCAAGGTGGTCCAGGGGGGCTCCACTCTGCACCCTTGTGGGTCAGGCCTTTACATGTCAGTCCTGAAAGCACTTCAGGACATGCCTAAGCTTAAGCACACTCAAGTAATTAAAAGTAAGATGTGCCTAAGAGTTTGTGAGACCAAATGTTTGGAGCCCAGTTCACAAAGGTTACTTCAAGATCTGCTTCAGCAAATCAGCTGTTACATTGACTTCAGTCAGATTGCTGGCAAGTTTGAGGTTAAAAATATCTCTATCTTGTTGAATTAGAGTTGTGCTTTACAAGGAACTGTTTTATGTTATGTCTTTTTAGTATGAAGCAACTTGAAATATATCCACACATTGTGTAAGCCACCTAGGTATGTTCCTAGTGCTGCTGTACAAATATTTTAGCACCCAATTTCAATTATCTAATTAATTTAATACCTTTAAAACACCAATATTTTATTAACTAACATCAGGGAAGTATTGCTTGACATAAACCATTGATTCAAAGTACTTCAATACCCTATTCACTAAGCATTCTTCATTATGCATGATTTTATATACTTACCAGAAAAAGCATTTACCTTTGCCAAAAGTTAGTAAAAAAAAGTCTTTCATGACACCTTCTAGTCAAAGTATGCTTTAAACCATTATTTCCTGAACAGTACAGAAGTTAAAAGGCATGCAGTTATGTGATCCAACTCAAAGAACAGCAAAAAATAAAACCCTGAACCTCCACCCATGTAATCCCAGCCACTAAGTCTCAAACAACACAAATGTTAACAAAATAAAAACCACAACAAAACAACACCAAAACACCCCACCATCACCAGCAACAAAACAAACACATTCCCTACGAGGCCTTCGCTATAGGAAAATATACTTTTAACACTATAAAACATAACAGGAAATTGTATAAAAGTCTTCTATACTACAGATACATCAATTTAAGATATGTTAATTCTAAACACATTTTACAATACTCTTTTTATATTGTGGTTTAACATAATGAAAACATTAATTCTTTGATCTCTTAAAAAAAAGGCAGCAAGAAACTATTCCTTGCAAATAACAATGAGCTATTACACAAAAAAACCAGCCTGAACTCTTTAAATTGGTTAGTTATTCAACAGAAGATACCTTCTTCCCATTTAGAGACCTACACTGACACCACAGTTGACTAATTTGCTGTAACTTTTTTTACCCTCTTAAACCAGAGGACAATTCTCTCCCTGCACCTATGTAAGTGCTGGAGATACCAATAATGGAGGATCAGAGTCCTGTATCTTCAGGTTTCTGAAAAAAGAAATTAATTCATATCCTTTTTTTTTAGGTCATCATAGGAGCTATTACTTAGACACATACTGATGCACTGTCAGCTCATCAGGTGAAATCAATTTTATGAGGAACATCACTCCATTTCTAACTTCCTCTCTTCTTTTCTCTTGTAGTACCACCTTACACAATTCATGATATTTTCCTTACAAATTTGCAACTACGAGCTTAACGTAGCCTTGAATTTATCTTTTTTTTCCCCTACACACAAATGATAGAATTCAGTGCATAACAGCATGATTCTGCAAGGGAAAGACAAATTTCCAGTATATAAGTTTGTTGTAAAACTGACAATAATGCAGTATGGACGCATCCATGAACAGGCTTAAGAATTATAGGTAAATCACTGTTAGAAAGAGGCAAACTAAAAATTAAGCCCCCTCTTGGGAAAGGTTTTTGACTGCTAAGTCAGCAGTTACTTGATATTAAACAGTATACTTGAAAATTTTTCCCAGCACCTCTCCTCACAGTATTATTACTGTTAGCATCACTGCAGGAATGAATGCAGATCCAGGATGTGTGGGGTTTCTTCTTTCAGAATCCTGAACTTGAATTGCAAGAAGCTGGTGACATAATAGAAGAGGGTGTGTGATACTGAAATATTATTACTTCCAGACAACCAGACTTCTGCCTGCTTCTAGGCTTCTTATTTCTTCACTGATTTCAGAATTCCCCAAAATAATTTGGTAATACGTATTTTTTCTAAGCACAGTAATAAAATCGTTGTAAATACAGCCCTTGCAACAAACTGCATCCACTTAAAAAAGTAAAATAGTTAAAATTAAAAAATGACTCATTTTGAAGTCCCTGTTTTCAGTATTTAAATTAATTTGATTTTAACTTAACTGTATCATCTTTGCATTTTAGCTGTAAAGCAGGAGCAAAAACTCCTTTTGAGCAGCATTCTCTTGCTCCTTTAAGACAAAGAAGCCAGATAGCTGGTCAAACATAACAGCTACAATATATATAGAGAAGTAAAACAAGGCAGATTCTGGAAGGAACACACAAAACAAGCAGCATTCTAACTGAATTTATATTTACTTCAGACCTAAACTGTAAATTCTCAAAGACTTCGCAATTACAGCCCTGGTTACAGGCTGGGCTTTTTAAATTTTTTTTCTCTTAAAAATCGAGGTACTAACCTGCGGACAAACTTGGAAGTTATCTTGCTTATTATACCAGTCGAAGTCCCTCTTCTAGCATGTGCAAAAGCACCAGTTTCATGGGATGGTGAGGCAGGTGGTCCATTGTAAGTGGCATTACGCCGCTCCCTCAGCTGCTCCCCATGGAAAGTGCTTCGACTTGAACTCCCCCGAGGAAAGCGGGTTCGGTCTGGAGTGGTAGTGCTAATACTATGAGCAGACGGGGAAGCAGCAGGCACTCTTTGAGTTGCACTGCTGGGAAAACAGAAGCATGAATAAAGAGAAAGACTGTGCTCAAAACCCTCCTACATGACAACCGTTCTTTGAAGACAGGAAAGAAACCCCACTCTTGATTCTTTTTATTTTAAAAACTGAATCTGCTACTGATTTGCTTTTATGATTCATACTTAGAAATGATCAAGAGATATTTTCATTGTAAAATCAAATTATCTTAAGTATTAGGAGCAGTTAAGAAAAGTATACACAGAGAATAGGACAAAGGAAAAAGGTAGAAAAGTCTGTAGCAAAATCTGGAGGTGTTCCCAGCCCTCTTCTGAAAAAAATGTGTTCATCAAAACCTTTAACACAAGCACTCCCAAAAAACCTAATGGATATTTCCTAAGTAATTGTCTGACAGAAATAAATGTGTAAAGCTATTCAGGCAGTTAATGGTAAGAACAACTATACTATGGTGCTTCTAGACACCAATGAGTTTAGCAATCTACAAATAAGAGAGGTTAACATTTCAGTACTTCATCTGAATTTATGGTGGCCTGCATTGTACCGTCCTGTCTAAAGTAGTCAAATTTTTAACTTGAGTTTTCCAAAAGTTTCCAGAGGGAGGCAGTCAAGGAACTTCTTTAACTGTATGCAAACATGTTTGTCATGAACAAAACCAGGCTTAAATCATCTGTAATGCCCACAGTACTTGAGTAAGCTATTGCTTCAAAACAGAACGCAATGTGACAGTTTTGAGTAGACTACAAACATACTGAGGCCTATCGTGAACTCAACAACAGCATTTTTGAAGTGCACAGCACTAAAGAAATAACCACCCATTTCTTACCTTGGTCGGTAAGCTTCAGTACCATCTTTGATGGTTGGCAGTGTAACTTTTATAGGATGACCAGAGGCAGACATAGACTTTTGATGTCGAGGGCGCGTGGATACGGAGGCTACTGCAGAGCCTCCAGAAGATGTGCTACTCGCAGACATTTCCGTCAGGCTTTTGCCATGGCAGCAAGGCAGGAGAGATGGACAAAAGGAAAGGGAAAAGAAAGGTTAGTGTAAAACCCTTTAAATGATTTCTTGTTTTAGAACACACCAAGTGCTGTTTAAGAAACCAGAAGGACTGAGTGACCAGGCTGCCTTAGTCAGCTAAAGAATACAGAATTCTGAGAAAATTATGTTAATCCATAAATCAATTCACCACACATGTTAAGTTAGGCCTTTTCATTCCTCCCAGGGTTAAAGCTTACACACAAAAAGTAATGAAGAAAGACCACAAAGAATACATAGATATAGGAAAAAATACTGAAAAAGAAATTTGCAAAAGGCTTAAAGAGATTGGTTAAATAGACTCTCCTTTTGTGGATACCCCTATTTGTAATTAAAACAAACATCTAAAACTTGAAACATTTGGAACTGCTGTCACACTATCACTTGGAAGTGACTGTTTTTAAAGGACAAATTTATACTTCTCCTCTGGACTATCCCAGCCACTGCTAGGCTGAGTCAACTCTTTCAAAGTACAGTTTCTTCTACCGGTACTTTTATTTCTCCTTCCTAAAGTGGCAAGAAAGATGAAAGTAGTGGCAAAACTATTGTGTTATTAATTTTTAAAAGAAAAGTCAAATGACCTAAGGCAAACTACAGCTTTGCCTCTACAAGCCTAAGTGAAATTGCATTAATAATGTATTAGCAACTACAGTCCCAAAGCTAAATAATACCAGTAGCAAAGAGGTAAAGATTTCAGATTAATAGTTCGATGACACAAGACATTCATCTGCACCAAATCCAAATACAACTGCAACACAATGTCTTGTAGGAAAGACATATAAAACTCAAAAAAAAAGAAATATAGATTTTCTATATATAGAAAAAAATTAAACTGTAAAATTAAAAACTTTGAAATAAAATCCCTACTTTCTAAAGTGTTTTTTGTACTAAATCTCTTGGAAGAAAAAACTACCTATCTTTGTGAGATCAGAAAAAATATTGTAGCATATATTTTAACCCTGTATCTGAAAAACATGTTATTTTCTTTCTTTTCAAAAAAGGATTCTTACTACCTTAGTTTCAAATATTTTGAACATTACACAAAAATTTGAGGAGACAATTCCACCCAATAATTTGAAACTAATACTGAAAATTAGTTTTCTGCTTTTTAATGTACCTCCTTAAAGGACTTTAAAAACTTTTTCAAAGAGCTGTACTTTACAGGTTCCATAGCTCATCATTTTATGATAGATGAATAACCCTATACTTCTCTTATTTCCAAAATCACATGCATCATTACAAAAATTAAAGCTCTGTGACAGAAAAGAAAACCAAACTAGTTTACTAGATTATGTTATCTCATGCTTTTTTGTTCATTTTACATTAACTGTTTTATTTGAATAGCTTAAAAAACATCAGAATAAGAACTGTTACTTGAATCTAAAAAAAAAAATAAAATCCAGATTGTATTACTCTCCATTAAAGCCAATATTTCGTCTCTCAGTCAGGTACAGGGGTTAACTAACACCAAGGATGAACAAAGGGCATATTTAAAAAGAAACAGTAACTGTGGCATTGTTAAATACAATACTATTTAACAAAACATACTAAACTGAGTATAATTATCATCTCATATAAAGACACAATTTGGTTACCATCACTACGAATATATTACTTAGACCAAAAAGTCATATTGAAAATGACTGACAAGTTTTAACAATGTCAGCTTTTTGAGCTATTACAGGGGGAAACGAAAAAGGATCAAGCTACACTGTCAGAGCAATCCATCTGAAGTTCTCCACAGTATATCTGCCCGCTTAGCAATTAGTTGTTAGCACAGTTATTTTATTCTGTGGTGGAAGGCAACCCTTGGTAATAAATGTGATTCCATTCAAAGAGGCAAAGGCTGATTGACACTTGTAGTTAGAAAGTTCACCACAAACACAGAAACAGCAGTGGAAGACAAGACGAAAACATACACTTGAACTTTATGTATTTCATACCATGCTTCATAATGGTATTGATTAATTGCATAACCTGCTTCTTCTGTGCCTCAGTTCTTGTACCCAAATCAATAAGCAAGAGAAGTTAAACAATACCTGTTGTCCTTCCCATTCTGTATTGCAGAATAGCGATCTGAAGAACGTTCACAAACGTAAGTGTTCCTCCTTGTCATTCCACTACCAGAAAACACATTATTCTAGAAGAAAAATAAGACTAAAATTAAATACTTTCTTCTATTGTAATGTTGTTGTACAAAAATGTAAACATCAGAAGCAAATCAAAACAGCATTTCAACTGTTTATTTATATTCTTGAAGTCTTCAAATGTACCAGATTAATCTGTTGACACAAATCATTTATATCATCAGCTATTTTATCCAACAGCTTATTCACCATTGCAAGTATACTAAGAGAAAACACAGGAATTTAATTTTGCTGACACTTGCTTAAATTCGTATTATTATGCCATTCCCACTTCCTATGTTACAGAATTATTTGTCCCTAGGATCAACTAAACTGGAATCCCAGAGAACACACCTATGGCTGGCTGAAAGGCTTCCCTGCACAGATTAATTTGCCAGCAAGGGCTCCAGCCTTACAGTTTGTTGCCCCTGTCAAAAGAGCTTTCAAGAAGAAAATGAAAATAGTATCGACCTGTGTCAGTCAACCCAGAAATTATGATGCAGACAATATAGCAAATAGGTTTTGTATCAGCAAATACTGACAAGAATTTCTTTCTGTTAATTTCAGTTTGCATACACTTCACAAAATACCTACAAATGTTCTCCTCCACCCCTATCACACACAGGTTACCAGCTGAAGGCTTTCTTTTAGTACATGATGTACAATTCTCAGTTTTTAATGCAGTAATGTTGAATTTAGGGTGGGAGAGGTTGCAACATGCTAAGATTACATACTGACACATGCTGGCAAAAGATTTCAAATACACTAGACTTGGGTACTGTAGGACATCATGAACTCTGCAAAATTTACTGTGCTTAGGTCTCTCTCACCTACAGTTTTTCTGCACTAATATGACCCCACAGAGACTACTGAATAAACTGTTTCAAGGCCAATTTGTAAGGAAGATTAACAACTGCAGCAACTGTTTCTGAAGTTAAATTCTCATAAGTTAGACTAATATGACTGAAGGTGATAAATGTTTTCAAGAAATTCTGCCTTCCCTAACATCACGTTATCCCAAAAGTTACACAAAAATATTTTAAAATTACCCACATCAAGTTAGCTTTGTTGATTTTAAATGTTCGACTTTTAAAAAAACAATTTCACTTTCTGTGTAAGCTGCTCAACCTTGAACTACTGTTGCAATATCAGACACTAATATTCCTTAATCGTGCCCATCACAAAGCCTTTCAAAGTCCCAGAATAGTAACAGAGCTAAAATGTACAAATACTGAAGTTGCCATTAGCAAGTAAATCAATTTCTCATTCTTCATAGCAAAGATATTCCATTTAATTAGTTCTCACAAAGCAGAGAAATGCTTTTGACATATCAGCTTGTACCATACATGACTGTAATCAGCTTTGGGGCAATATAGTTTTGGGAAAACTCAGATATGAAATCTAATCTTAGAAGACTCAAGAGTTCCTGCCTGCAATAAACACAGCCATAATTTCAAAGACTCTTGGGGAGGAGTTGGGGGACAATGATCATATTTAACATTTAAATTTAAAAAAAAAAAATTAATTTGCTTGTTCAATTTCTGAATACAAGAACCAGGTTGTAAATCATAACATCAACAGGCACATGCACCAGGGAACCAATTGGTTGCTCTCCCTCACCTCACCCCATTCCTGAAGTCCAAAATGAAGCGGTTTCAGAAAACAAAACAGCCAAATTTATGGAGAAGGTTCATGAGGGATATTATGTAGGATTAACAGATGAAATCTGATTCAGAAAGTCCTTTGACTTTCTTGTAGATACACAAGCATTCAAAACCAGAAAAAGAGCACTCCATATTGGCTCTGTTCTTACATTCTTTCCCTAAATATCCACTATTTGTCTTGACAGAACTTCAGTTTGCCCAAGTGCAGACATCCTCATGTTTACTGTTATGTTAGTGTTAAAAAAGTAAAGTTGGTGGGGGGAAGGGACAGGTTTATTTTAAAAGATCCACTGTAGCCTATTTCTGTCTGCCAGTAAAAGTTACCAGAAATAGACTTAGTGGCTTAGTCAGTAACCATTATGTCTATAGCAACCCTGTGCTGCAGATTTTGTTAAAATAGGGAAAAATAAATATGAGAAGCCAAAAGCACACACACTCACACTGGTAACTGCACTTGATTTCTTTCTGTCTGGACCCACAAGCGGACTTGCAGCCATCTCTCCTTTGGATCCCACTGTAGTGCTGCCAAGTTTGCGCGAGACATCCTTGTCCCACTCTTCTTTCTGTTCACTTTCCACACTATTTGCCTGAGACCTTTTTGTGTATGACACAGCAGGAGGAATTGAAGGACCAACTGCCAAATAAAAACAGTATTAATAAGTACCTAAAAATAGTCACTGCATTTTTCTTGGCCAAAATAGTCTAAATATAGTTCCCTGAGTCCAAAAAAAGCATCTGAACAACTCTGACGGCAAACTCAGCACATATACCAACCTACTAAACTGAGCTTTGACAGCCTGTTTTCTTTTAACCCACTCTCTCTTCACCACCAATTTGCAGTTCAGAATTAGTTCCCATTTCATATCAGTATGTAAATTCTGCAAGAGTATTTTAATTCTCATTTTAAACCCATGCAATTTGTACGATATTATGAAAAAAGGAGTTAGAGGATGTTTTTCAAAGTATTTTTTAGTACTTTTTGCCACATACCTTTTCCTCTAAATACTATGAAAGATTATTTTCCCCTGAAAACCATGGGACTGCTTTATTTAAAAGCATGTTTTACAGTTTCCCCCTCCTCATCATTCTTTAAAATGCTTTGGAAAAAACTCGTTGTCAGTTGACTTCTATATTCCCTTAAAGTAAAAAGCACATCAGCTAACAATTTTTATAATATTGGTTGCTTTTTTGGACAAAAAAAAGGGGGGGAAACAATAATGTGAATTAGACAGAGAGGAGGGCCAAACATTTTAGAAATATTTATAGGAATTTGATAGCTCTCTGAGGAAAAAAATCATCTTCCATTTAGTGTTTTAAATATGTACTCCTTTGTGACGTAAGCACTTTCAGCTGTTTCCTGAATACTTGGTAAAATTGTTGTCTCTTGGAACCAAATAATTTGCCCCCGCCTGTACTGATAAAAATAATGGTTTGCTGCCCTTGGGATTATCCAGGCCAATATCTGCCATTAGTTCCTAAACAGAACGCACCCACAATGTCTTATTTAGTGAGTCAACCAAGTATCAAGCCCAAAAAATTAAATCTGCACGTTATATTGATCCAGAAGCGTTCATACAGACAGAAGCATCACAGTAGAGCACGATGAGATACACGACAAATGCATAGAGTGGTGGCCCTGCCAGGTTCAGAAAACACTGCACATCCAGGCTCAGACTGTGTATGTCACTTTACTTGTTGGAATGTCATCCCCACCATGATCACTGAACCGCCGCTGTTTCTGGTTGGTCGATATACTGCGCTGGACCTTCAGGTGAGCGGGAGACTGCACGGAGCTGTTGTTGAGGTCGCTGCTGGGACGAGATCTTTGACCCAAGTTGCTGCTGGACAAGGAATCGCCTACTTCAAACTACAAGAAAAACAGTTTTTCAAAGCATAAACAAAATTCAACAGTACTGGAATTTTTATGGCATAATAAGGCAAAAAGTCCCAATAGAAGGCTTTTTTTCTTTATAGTTTAAAATTGTACCCAGAGTAGAATATTCTTCAAGATGAATTTTATCACTTCATCTATGTTTAATGTGCTTTAAAAACACACAGCTAAAGCTAAGTTAATGAATGCTCAAAATAAAATTAGAAGAATCTTGATAGAAAGAAAAAGTGTGCTATTTTAAAACCTAAGCCACGGAATGGCTCCCCCTGTTTTTTTTTATTTTATTTTAAAGCCTAAAAGCATTCATAGCTTCAGAAAAATTTCAAAATGCATCGGACTGAGTCAGAAGGGCTAAAAAAGCAAGTACTGATTAAAGGATTCTTTATGGCCTTCTAAACATCTTTATGTAACTGGTATGTAACTCAGCCACTGGTTTGTTGATATCTAAGAAGCAAAAGTTGTAAGTAAGAGCAGTGGAAAAGACAAATATCCTCTTCCAAGCAATTTGAGTCAAAATGATTTTAGACAGATTCCCTCCATGCTCTGCCATCACAAGGGAATTCAGGTTCAGAGATGTGAGAAAATGCACTCAAGGATGCATGTATCAGATCTACACTATCTTAGAACTGAAGGAAGGCCAATGACGCAGGAGCAAAAAATTCCTTCGAAAAGAAAGTCTTGTTCTCAGTCTGATTTCTTGAAAAATCCATGTGATTCCAAAAGATTTACAGATTCGTCTAGTTCCAAAACAGTAGAAAGATTTTCTACCACCAATTTATTAATGACTAAAACACACTATAAACAAAACGTGAGTGAGAAAGGACGAGCATTTCTGAGAAATAAATGATGTCATATCTGAGTAGCTAGAAAAATAATTGCTGCAGTCAAATTTACTATTTCAGATTTTAATTGAAAACATACATGACAGGAAGAAGACTCAGCATTTAGAAGTTATGTCAGATTAACAGCCAGCTTTTTAAAAAAGCAATTCCATGTATTTACAAGCAAACATGAAGATATTTATTTCTTCATATGGGATATCTAACAAGATATCCAAGGAGATATGAAAAGGGAAAGACACTAATAAGTGGTTAATTACGATTTTTTAAAAACATTACAAAATAATCAATACAAACATCAACAAGCAGAATATTCAACCCAGCCATATATAAAGGTTAAAACAGAAAATGTAAATTAGATAGCACTTACTTCAGGTGGTTTTCTACCTAGAAGCAGGTAAGTAGCCATGACTTCATCATACTTTTGGTTTACTAAAGATTCATGTATTTCTTCTCTTGAAAAGCCCATTGTGACCATAATGTCTAAAAGTAAAACAAATCAGATGCACCAGCAGAATAAGTGCTTGGGTTTACTGACAACTTAAGAACCGTGAAAATAGAAAAAAACCTTATAACTTACAGGTAACTAAGATTCAATGCAACCCACTGAAGTTTTTTTGCTGTGCAAAAATAAAAAATGCTGCAACTCCTTTCTCTCAGTGTTATTTTCATCTTGAAAACTCTCAACTATATTATACAACTCTTCACTAATTTATACAACACTCAATGTTATTCAACAAACAAATAAAGCACTGGCAAATAGAAACTATGAATAGATACAGGGCCAACACAGTAACTTAGTCTAACCATAGCAGGCAAAAATTGTTGCCCTCATAACAAAATCTGTTCCCTTCAGTCCATTGAATTCTGTAGTCTTATTTGTCTACTGTGTTTGTAGATTCATGTCAGCTCAGTGAAGTCACAACAGTAGTTACAAGGAGGGCATTGTAATGGAATTCCTCATTTAAATAAAAAGAATGCATTTGACTTGTATGATGAGACTGTAGGTCAAATTCAGTAAGGGTTTAGTTTGGTTTACAAGACAAAAATTCTCTGTGTACATCACATGCAACACCTTTGTAAAACTCTCACCTATTCTCTTGGTGTCATTAAAATCTGGTTCAGGCTCAGTATATGGCTTTAGCTCTTCTTCTTCATGGCCAACATTCATCCACCGATCCTTCATAATTTGCTAAGAAGGGAAATAAGCTTTAGGTCAACATTCCATTTACCAGACCCCATCTGCTAGCTGGTCTGCTGAAAAACAATTTTAAATTCATAATAATCTGAATGCTACTCTTTCCCTTACACCTTTTTCCCCCTCACATCTTTACTTTCATTTTTCACATCTTTTTGTTTCCATTAGCTCATTTCCCCTACAATTTACCTTTTATAATACAAATCCCCTGCCTGAAACACCAGCAGAACTACTGAGAGAAAAACCTCTGCAGTTTCAACACAAAAATCTTTCATTTTGTCCCCTTCACTTCCACTGTCTCCTAATCTGATCTTGCAGAGTGTCTGACACTCATGCCCTAATCTTGGTTAAGATCCCTAGATGCTACTACAATACCAACTCTACCACAATAAATAGCTCCTTCAAATGATAGCAAAGGAAAGTGTTTAGAAACTAAGGAATATTTCAGGAGCATGCTGATGCTTCCTACAGTCATTAGTTTCAAGATCGTGATGCCAACTGGTCATTTTTTCCTATGGACCTTCTCACTGCACTTGACCTAAATATGTTCACAGTTTGGCTGGAGGGAGAAATGCCTCTTAACTCTCTCTGTGCCAGGTAGTTATTTACTCCAAAAATTTCTTCTGCATTCTTTGGAAAATTTCCTTCTGCTGCATTCCAGATCTTTTATATGCCTTTAAGATTGATCATCTGGAATCCCCAACCATCACAATTTCCCTGTAAGGGCATATTCATCTTTAAAACACCTAACACCATTTTCCCTCCTACAGCAACAGGCACACGTCTCTTTAGGGACAGATGCTAATACTGCTCACTACACAAACAGAAGAATGAAACAAGTGCCAGCAAATCAAGTTTCCCACAGGCTCCAAATATGCCTTGCAAACACCAAATTAAGTTATTTCTCACAAAGAGCCAAAGACTCAATTTTCCATTCATATAACCAAATTCTTTGTATGTAGTGTTGCTGCCAAATTACAGACCCCAATAGCTGTATCCTTACAAGGACAATACAGAACTTTGTACTTGGGCCAGTTAACATTTTGCTGACAATAAGACTTATAGATTTGTTCTACCATGGAATTGATTTTTGGCTTTTGAGGGGGATAAAGGGGAAGGGATTGTGAACACATATAGCTATATTGTATTTCTGACACACAGAGTATATGAGTCTACTTTACAGTAGACTTTGGTTACATATTTGCAGTCTTGCAGTAACATGAGCGACTACCCAAAGAGTACTGTGCAGGATCTGCAGTCCCAATTTTTTAAAGATACCATTAAATAAATCTGAAGTTAAGTAAATCTGAAGTTTAAGCACAATGAAGTGGATGTCAAGAATCACTGCTCAAATCCTACTCCCTATCTTGATGCTTCTTGAATTAACAGGCAAACCCAACAATGCCCACTTAAAGTTTTTCATGTCTCTTCAGTAGGTGGATCTGTAGTTCAATGTAATCTGCTCTCGGTTTCCATCTGTTAAATATCTAAACTAGCTTCTGTCTTTCAAATACACAGTCTCAGAGGCACACTGACTTATTGTACAACTCTTAAACAGGCTCTTACAATCAAGCATTTTGAAGCGACACAAACAATCCAATTCCAGGATCAATATTACATTTGTGCAAGTTCAGCTGGGCTTCCAGTCAGCTGACTGAAGAGCAGCAGCCTTGGTCAGAGTATTTAAAAATCTGACCCAAATTATACCTCTTAAACATCAACCCAAACTAAATTTCAACCAACCAGGTATTATTAAAAAGCTTTCCCTCAATTTTCAGAAAACTATCTAATAAAAATCTAGTCTGGCTCAAGACCTGTCTATGTGAAAATTATTTGCTTTATTACACTTCGTACGCATAAATCTGCCCTGGGGGAATTTCAAAGCAATACTATGCAAAAGAATTGAAGACTGAAGGAGAGGGAAAGAGGAATTTGTTGAAATCCTGACAGAGAGATCCACATATTTTATGACAATGCATTTTTCCCATCTCTTCCTGGGAAGATTTACTGGTTTATAACAACATTCTCTTGCTTCTAAAATGTTCTCTCTCTGCTGCAACTACAAAAAAGGCTAGATGAACCATTTTAATAAAGATTTGCCTGGTCTTTACCAAAGGACAAGTGCTAAGCCTAACCCATACAGTGCTGACCCTGTGTGATTCTCAGCTTTGATGTTCATGTCACTGATAAACATCCTCATGGGATGGTCTGCAAAAAACATGCATGGGAACTGAGAGGGTCTATGGCTGGGACTGAGCAAATAATCAAAAGACAATGTACAAATAAATCTTCCCCACCTAAGATGATATTGCCTTTCCACTTGTAGAAACTTGTGATATATACTTTCATTCTAAACATGTATTTTTAGGAGTGCTCAGAGAGAAGAAACAGTAATTTCTTTCCAAACCACACACCATAGTTTTTTAATTCAACAAATGTGATTTCAGGAATATTCCTTTTAAAAAAGGTTGTGATGCTCTCTCTCCCTCAGATTAGCATACTCATCATTGCCTGTTATCAGTGTTTTGGTACTGGCTCAAGACCCTCCGTCACACAACATTCACTCGCTCTCCTCCACACAATCTGACAACGTTGCCATTTCAGCGAGGCTGTTATTCAACACCTCTCTCCAGGGACAGGAAGGAATTTTAGAAGAACTGGATAACACTACAGTATCTAGAATGAAAGTGAAATTAGATCTGAAGAGAAACTGCTGAAAATCCAGAAGAAAACTCAGTAAAGGAAAAATCTGTTTTCCTAAAACTTAAACATGAGACAAGAAAACGGCGATTTTTCAGCATCTTCAAGTGACTATACTCTTATAATAATAGACAGTAATAATAGAACATAATTAATGAATATCAGTGAAGTAGAACCCATCTTTCACTATTCTCTTCAGCACAGATTTTATTCAAGTTAAAACTATTTATAACAAGTCATAAACCAGCATCAGTTTGAGATGAAGTACATGCAGACAGAGCTCAGTGAATGCAAGCTTCCTTGCACAGGTAGTGTCCATGCCAGGGAGTGTAACTCATGCCACTACAAATAAAAAGCTGCTTAAATGGGATTATTCTCTGGGACACCAACCACTGCTGCACAAGTATGTGTAGAAAGATGAAACAAAAGTCACTGGTGATTAACTCATGCAAATACTATTTTAAAAGCATTCTATTTATCTTCTGCTCTACTTTCATCTCTATGGTAAGTAGATGCTATTTTTAAAAAATCTCTTGTTGTTAAAGAAATCACAAAATAGAACAGAGCAGCTTTTAGAGTGAACTCTACACCAAATATTTGTTAAATACCAGCTCTGGAGTTATCCAGTAATTACATGCCAATACAGCAATCTTGAACAAAACAGCCCCTTAAAAAACACTGAACCTTTTAGACACTTTACAAGTTACGCACAAATATACTCTACATCCCATGAAAAGAAAACCCAATTTACTAACCAAAAAAACCCCAAAAACAAACAAAAAAAACCTCAGTGGAAATCCTCAAAATAGATTTTAGCTAAGGGACACAGCAGGTATTATTATATGTGTTAATTTTTCAGCTATTCAGAAACAAAACTACCAGGAGGGGGAAAAGAAAGGATTGAACAGAAGTAATTAGCAATTATTAGCTTATCATTCAAAGAGTTTTAAGTGTTTACACGTATTATGGTACTAAAACTAGCAAAAATCCCAGTTTCCCATCACATTTATTCTTCTTGTACATATATTTTAAGTCATGCTAAAAACGGTAAGTTAAAAAATGATGGTCCTGCCTGCTGTTGTTTTTGTATTTTGTGGTTGGGTTTTTTTTTTTTTGTTTTTGTTTTTCTGAAAAACTCCAAGAAGAAGACATTTACAATCTTGTCCTGCTTTCCACAAATTCTGAACTATCTCTATTAGCTGACTGAAACAATAGGGAGCAGCTTGCACTTTGAAGTGCTCTTAAATTATAGTCAGCTGCAATTTAAAAGGTTAGACTTTCATTCATTAACACTTTCTATTTTCAAGCTGTACTGTTTCTGGGACATTTCCTCTTTTTTTTTTTAACAAAACTTTGGGGCCCTTGAAACAGAAAGGAAGTATCTATTGTGAAAAATAACAAGTCTTCAGAAATTACTGTATGTTATGCTTTCTTAATCTAAAAACCTTTTTCCCAAGATGAAATGACTTACTTCCAAGCTGCCTCGTTTTATTGGATTCAGTACTAGTAGCTTCTTAAGTAGATTTTCACAGTCTGTGGACATATAGAATGGAATGCGGTACTTCCCCCTCAGTACTCGCTCCCTCAGTTCCTTTAAAATAGAGTTTAAAAGGTGAGCTCCTAATGACACAGGAGATTTAAAGACAGTAAAAGCCAAGCTTTCAGACTGTAACTGTACCTTTAGATTCTGTCCATCAAATGGCAATGATCCGCTTACTAGTGTATACAAAATCACCCCAAGGCTCCACACATCCACTTCAGGACCATCATATTTCTTGCCTTGGAAAAGTTCAGGAGCAGCGTAAGGCGGGCTTCCACAAAACGTGTCCAGTTTATTACCAACCGTAAATTCATTACTAAAACCAAAGTCTGCAATTTTAATGTTCATATCTGCATCAAGGAGAAGGTTTTCTGCCTAAGAGAAAAATAAAAGGGAAAAAGGACAATGTTTGTATCAAAATAAATGTACATATATATATAGTACAGTGTATCATCAATCAATAAAAAGTGTTTATTTTTCTGAAATAATTCACCATCTACATCTTTCTTGCAGAACCAAAGAAACTAATATCCCCAAATACATTACAAGGACTGAAAATTGACTGAAAATTTACTCAGGAAAATAAAACTGTTAAAAGCAGCTAAATAGACTTAAAAGTCACCTAGTGAATCAACTACAAAGATTTTATTTTCTGGAAGAAATATCTTAGTTCAGCTTTAGACTGAAGTATCTAGACATCTCAGAATAGCAGCTGCAGCTTTTGACAGGTTCATGCCAACTTCTGATGCCAAGGAGAGTAAATCTAATCCCAGACATCATCTACCATTTTGTGGAGTAAATGTTAGAAGGGATTTAAGACTTTAGAAGAAGACACCTTCTGCTTACAAGATGAAACACTTCAAGCTACATGCTGTATCTCAGCATTCTGTACCAAAAAATTCTCTCCCTTTTATTATTAGCATTTGCTTCAACAATAACATCAAGGTGTTAACACTCAAGTATCTATTTTTTTCATACACAATGTATGTATTCCATACATCTAAGAATAGTAATGCCCATGCACCAATGCATCACATCAACATAGATGCAAGTATACAAGTACCTGGAAAGTCAGTAAACAGTATCTTATATTTACTATCACAGGTAGGTCAGAAGATTAAAAAGGGTGAAGTTGCATAAATACTAATAAGTACCGTGGAAAAAACCTGCATTTCTCAAAATGCAAGGAAGCTCTTCTAGGAGTGCAGCAGAACCGGACAATGTTTATTCACCTAACTGGGTCTCAGCTCCTGATCTGCATATCAGCAACACAGGAGCAGCACTGAGCTGGGCAGGAATCCTCTTTCAACAGGAGGACAGACAATAGCCAGTGCAAAGGGTTCACCTAATTGCCAAACATCAGTTTTATAGCAAACAGACATGTATCAGTTGCTGCGCTAGAATGGAGCTCAGAAAAATATCAAAATGCCTTAGCTCACCATCAGAGAAGCAGCTAACTAATTGTTAGTTGCTTTGATTAAAAGCAACTATGATTTTGTTTGGGTTTGCTTGTTTGTTTGGGTTTATTTTTAATAATTTCACTTACACTCAATGAATAGAACAGGAGACAATTAACCACCAGTACATCAAGCTAATAGCTGCACAACAGAACTTAGCCTTTATCAGGACTAAAATACAGCCCATTTGTAAAAACTCTATCCTGGAAAATATTTTATTTTCCCAATTCATGGGAAATTCATGGGACCTGTGATCCCAGCTGGTTCCAGCTGATGTGCCTGCAGACAGACTCACAGAGCTATTTTCCAGATTTAACAGCCTTTTACACTATTGCACAAAGACTTCATTTTCTTTGTGGTGAAAACAGTACTGTCAGTGCAGCTGCTCTGCGATTACAATAGTCCTCCTGGTTCAACAGTACTCTGCTACCCGAGTACCCCATGCTTTTGGGTTCCTCACTTTGAACAAAAGCACCAAAAAACCTTTTTAATAAGCCAAATAGAAAGACTATGCTCTTGTTGGTTACATGTTCAGGGCAAAAAAGTACGAACAGAAAAGGTAAGGTAAGTTTTGTGTATCAAGGGATGAGCAAAGCTGAAATTGGTTATAGCTGTTTATAATCACAGAAAGTTAAAAGGAGACAGTTTAAGTTCCCATGGGCCTTGCACTTCCTCCTCTTCTCCCAGAATAGCCTGGACAAACTTGCACATTTTCTTAAACAACTTCACAGTTTAGTCTGAAGTAACTTAAATTTGATAGAGTTTAACCAGTTATTCAAGTCAAAAAGTCTCATCAAAAATATCCAAAGTGGTGGTAGACCTCTACCTTGTGGTGCTGCAATGCCAATTGCTCAATGTGCTGACACCATGGACAGTTAACAGAAGCAGATGAGAATGCAGACACAACTTCAAAGTTGCTTTTTCCTTCTCTGCAGCTCCATGAGAATAGTTTTAAAGGAGACAGATGACATAACACTTGGAACGAAAAGACAAAGCAAGAACACCTCCTCAAAGCCATACATACATTTAGCCCTTTTTCCTTTGGGAAATGTATTTTTTGTTGGCTAGGTTGGCTGGCTCTCAATTACACCTAACTGAACTCTACAAATGAGTCTAGCATAACTCCAGCCAAGAGATGATGGAGAGAGAATATCAAATAAAAGAGTTATTTTGGAACCTAGTTGTCTTGCAAATAGAAAGATCAGCAGCAGACTACTTGTGGCAGGTAATTCCTGCGTGAACACTGCAAAGTAGTTTTGGACAGGCCTGCGAGGAATGCAGTGAGCTGTCTGTATGCCATGGAACTAAGAAATGAAGGAGTGGTGGAGGCTGTAACGGGCTCTGGGAGAAAGAGCAAAAGACTGAGTAACTGCAGGGGTTAATGCAGCAAGACTCAGTAGTATAGCTGGGCTGAACAAGCCAGTGCTAGATAAGCATGAGGAGATGGCTGGCATCCTATTTCCAGCCAAGTGTAGGAGTGAGAGAACCAGGGAAAGTGGCTTTTCTTGGCAAGCCAATAGGTCCCTAGGTGCAGCCTTCTGGAAAGCTCAACAAGAGTGGCTGCAGTAAGCTCCAGGGAGTTTGACAAAACATTCACAGGCTCCAAACCACCACGCAAGACGTGGAGGAATTTTTTTAAATCAAGATTTCAGTGAGATCCCAGCCCTTTCCTTCCTTGCATTCTGACTTTAGAGTGTTGGCCAGGCACCTCCACCATCAGACAACAACAGTCCCGGGGCAGGGACGACTCAGCAGAAAAGGAATTATTATCCAGCATCATGTGCACATGCAGGTGCTGGCAGATCGACAGATATGAGAGAACAGATTTTTAAGATTGAAATTCAGAGAAGACTGTAGCGTATTATAAGAAAATGTGGACAAAGGACACTGGTGGAAAAAAAAAATCACCTTAAAAATTATTCAGCCTCAGCTTTTCACAAGTATTTAGATACATTAGTAGAAAAGAACCTACACCAATGTTTTCTTTGTAAATGTACAAAGACATCAAAGCAAGAGCACAAGACAGCTTTTAAGTGGAACTTGTGTCCAAGTCTCATGATATCTAAACTTGGCACTAAGACAACTTCAGGCTGAAGGGCTAGGTTGTACCTATTGTTGTTCAGCAGTTGCTGAACTCTTAATATGGTCTGGTGGTTTACATAGATTACCAAAAAGCATAAAGAAAAGCAAATTCAACTAATTTCTCTTTACCCTCAATTTATTTTTCTGCCCAAATTAGACACTACAGTATAAACCAGAAGTTCAAATGGATTAAAAATCTAACATATTAAAAATCACTAAGAAAAAACCCTTTTACATATCCTTGAGATATATTTTCACTGAAAATTTTTTAATTAAGTAGTGCTGACTGGTATCAATTGAACTTCTGCAGCTTCACAGTGTAGATATCAGCATGACAGCAGGTATAATTCTCTGGAGAGCATGTCCTTTCCTTAAAGCCAAAATTGGAATGAAAGTAACATATGTTCTATTCTTGTCTCTTCCCTGTTCCAACAGGCAAGCTATGTTATTTTTGTGCTTCAGAAAACTAAGAATAAAAAAGTGATAGTTCTTTCATTCACATGTTTGAGGCATTCACAGACAGTGGCAAGGACAAATATACAGAATGAAATTAAGACTATACTGTCAGGCAGTAAAAAGTAAAATAAGTAACCTACCTTAAGATCACGATGAACTATGCATTTTTGATGACAGTACTGTACAGCAGACACAATCTGAAACACCAAGATGAACAATGAAATATTTTATTTCAACCTCAGTATAAGTTTTTGCATATTATTTAGTAATTTTGGTTCCTGATATGATTCACTAGAACGTAAGAAATTAATAAATAAGTCTTTTATTTTAGAAAATATTCATCTAGGTTTCTTTCATTAAAGCTTAAATACTAAAAGGTCGCTAAAAGCAGCTCATTTTCCTACTAAAAATAAGTTTAATACATACTCTTCAAAGTAATAGGAGAAACATATTTTAAATGCAAATCCCCCAATAGCAATAACTATTAAAGGGAAATTAACCCACCCTCCAACCCAACAGCCATATGTATCATCTCAGATTTTATCTTCTAAAATATCAATTGCGTATCTCTGCAATTCACCCCCAACAGAACAATTCGTTCAACATTTTCATATATGTCTTTCATATATATAACAAAAAACAAGTCTGAAACAGCAAGTTCGGAGCAGTTTCTTTACCTGTTAATTACAGAGCTTAATTCTGCAGAATACCAAACATGCTATATTTATCTAATTAAAGTTTTTCCAAAATAATCACTAAAACCAGGGTAATAAAAGGATTAAAATGAGAAAGTTTGTAAGAAGAATATAAAATCCTATTACAGAATAGCCTTCATACAAAACAGTGTGACATGACACAGTAATACATGTCATCATATCAACATCTGTAGATAGAACATCTGTTAAATTCTAAAATATTCAGAAAAGGATTTAAACTTCAATTGAGTCACAATAAAAAAAAGTGACTCTTAGGGACATCAACTACAGGAATGTAAAACAATCTTACTATTTTTAGACAGCATGTAGGAAGCAGATATTTTTCTCTTCAGGGATTTTTTTCTACTGCAGCTTTAATAAACATTATCAAAACAATTAATATTTTTCTAAAGTAAAAGAAGTATGCTCACACTCATGTCTATCTGAAAACACCATAAATAGAAACAAAAGAAAGAGTGAACGTTAATTTCATACCTGCCTGAATTTTGAACGAGCCTCTTTCTCTTTCATTCTTCCATGTGCAACTAGGTAGTCAAACACTTCTCCTGATCAGGGCAAGGACAAAACATCAGTACTATTCTTTTTTACTGTCATGCACAATCAAATCATGCTTGAAAACAACACACACCCCATGCTCCCTCCTTTCTTGAATGGAAAGGAAATAGAAGCAGCCAATAAAAATTCCTTTTTGCTGTTTGCACTGGATTTAAATTTTCAGACATGTAATAATCAAGAAGTGTAAAAATGGAACCCTCTATACTAAGGCTTCTTCAATTTTTAAAATAAATTGACTTAATAACCACTGTGAAATGAACAAAATAATGAAAAATATTCATATTGTATATAAGACACGGTGGGAATTGGGCAACTTCTTATGTACCAGATCTGTTTCACATATATCTAGGGGCTTCACTTAACATTATCTGTACTACTTTTGTTTTTTCCATGTTGTTCTCTTTCTAATAAAGCTGCTCAGATGCTTTTCAGAACCTCATCTTTGCAGTGTCTGACAGCAGCCTTTCCTAGCTGTGTAAATCCAGCCCTGCGCTGGATTCTCTTCCCACATTCCAACATTTCCCATTCAGGTGCTAGGCAGCTTCTCAAGCAAGCACTCACTGTCCCTTCTCACTATGATCCTGTGGGTTCCCTTTCCCGTGTTCCTTATTCCCTTCCCAGATCTGCCTCTCCAATTGCTTTGGCACACAATTTCAAGATGAAATAAGGCACCAGTGCTTGCCTAAATATAGCAGGTAAATACCGACTGAGTTTTTGCCAGAATCAGCACCAGATTATCTCCTGATACTGCAGCAGAAACCTCAGAATGGGAACTACTCTTAAGCACAAACCTAAGAGGTTACTTTATGGAATGTGATGCAAGGAAGAAAGTCTGCCCTGGGAGGTCTGCTAAGACTGTTGTGAAGGCCAGATTGCAATAACCCATTAACCGTTAAATCCTTAAATCGTTTCTAGGCATGTAACTGGCATTTCAGTTTATCTTTAACGCAGATTTAAGAATCCACTTACCCCCACTGGCATATTCCATTACCAAATACAACGTCTTTTCAGTCTCAATAACTTCAAATAATTTTACTGCAAGAAAAACGAATGAGAAAGAGATTGCAGCTGGGAGTAAAAGCAAAGCACAAACAAACAATTATACTCGTGGAATGAGTATAATTTAAGGCCAGTGATAACATTATATCATACAGAAACTTTATATCCTTTAGGTTAGCATTCTTTCAAGGGGGAAAAAAGCAAAATTAATTTCTAAATCACAGTTGATAATAAAGCATATTAATTCACAATTTTCTCAGAAATTTATGCACACTGTACAAATGAGTTCATGCTGAAATTAGTGTTTAATTTGACACAGATGTCTTTAAGATCATACAAACCTCCCCTGTTTTGCTAGTAGACTGCTCACAGTCAGAAATCTGAGATTCTGACCAACTAAGAACCAAATGGATACCAGAAATGTTAAGTCTGACTTTCCTCAGATTGTAATAGTAACCAGTCATTTAAAACAAACACAGCCCCACCACCACCCCCAAGAAAACAAAAAACAGCAGAAGCTATGAATGCTGAAAAAGCAACAAACAATTCAAGGGATGAGAAGGGAGTGCCTAGCATGTAATAACTTGTACACCTCGTCCATACCTTGTATGCAACAAGCCCTCTGGCCGATTCAGGACCATTAACTGTCTCTGGAACAAGACTGTCCAGCCCTCCTCAGCCAGAAGAATTGTCATCACAAAGTAGGGCCCTGAAGCTGTGGGGTAGGTGAAAGAACTAAAGCAGAAAGGGAAAATTACATACTTGGTAATTCTAATTTTCTGGAAATATCAGTCAGCAGGAGTCTTTCCTAGACTGAACTAATGGAGTTTTGCTACTCTCACCTAAGAAACTCATGCTTTTGGGTCTCAAGAGTAATTTCAATGGAAGAGGGGAGTTAGGGTTCTTGACAGACCGGAGCGCTCCACATCTCCTACTCTATGTAAGGCTTTCCTAGACTGAGCAGTTTACCTCCTCAGAGCAAAATTCTTGTTGCAAGCAGAGTCAATAAAGAAGGTGAGACAATGAAGCATTTACTGGATGCCTACTGTCCTATTATCTCAAAAAAAAGTTAATAGCAGTACATTCAAATAAAGTCAAATAGAGTAAAATGTAAACATTATAACAAAAAAAAAGTTTGCAGAAATGTAGGGCTCCTACCAATATTGGGATGATTCAGTATCTTCATTATTCGTACTTCTCGAAACAACTGTCAAGGAAGCAAGACAATTTTCTTAGAGGATGTTTATTTGGAGAAAGTTACACAAGCTAGGTAAATTTAGTATCAAAAAGGAGACAGAAAAGGCCAAAGAAAGTAGCATTACCATAAAATACAGATAAATATAATGCAGTGAACTCCAGAAAACAATATACATTTTAAGCATTATGAAATTCACTACATATGAAAACCAGATTAATTTTTAAGCTTTATACAGACATACCAAGTTTTATAACCCTTTCTTGAGTTTCACATTTACCAAAACGAACAGATTAGTCACACAAGTTTTCAGTGTCTCTTTGCTCTTATTTCTTTGGTGACTGGCAAGCTCAGCCAACTACCCTGAATACAGACAGAACTGCAGGTGCAAATACAAGGTGCAGGACTACAGACAAAGTCCAACAGGTGTTCAAATGGAATTGGATACCAGGAATCCTGATGTCCTCCAGTCCTGCCACTCCACAGAGCTGAAATGGGCGAGTTAACATCTCACAACCACCAAATTTTACACTGGGTCACAAGCAGTGATGCCTCCTCTCCCCCCGGCAAGGCCTGAAGGATTATGATTCCTGTAAGTCTGCTTTATGATCCTGAGTCACATAACTAGAGACAACTGGACAAACTTATAGCCCTAAGCATATACACTCAAGACAATGGTGGGTTTTTTTTTTCTTTTAAACCAGAAACAAGAGTTCATCGCTCTCAAGTTTCTATTCTTAAATTTATGGGTTATTAATTAGAGCTGCAGCAAGATTAACCTAGGTGCTCAAAGGAAAGGTGGCAAATGAAAGAAATCCAAAATGACCACATAGTTTGGTGCTGTACACCTGAGGCTGATAATACTGATAAGCTTGCACTGGTTTACTTCAAGTGAATGACACATCTCCATCATCAAGTCCACTCACAGTGCTGTACACTCCTTTAGGCCCTTGTTGGGCTAAAGTAGGATGCTGAAAATGAAGGAAGAAACTCTCAGTGGCTTCAACACAATGCTTAGACATTTTGGAAACATCTTAGCACTACAGCCCTCCTTATGGAGAAACTTGGCTCAACACAAGAGTGTTGTTGCTGTTTTGCCTGTCTGATGTCTCCGAGACATCTCTCCCTCCATTTCCAAAATTAGAGTCATTTGTTCAGATCCAATCCTCACAAAAGGGTAAAATGATGCAAGCCAGAGACCAAACACCTCCTCAAGAGTAGCACTTCAGTGTCTATTTTATGATGGCTATGGCTACAAGTTAAGAGAAGTTAAAATTCTTTTGCTTAGACAACATTAATGGTTTTTCACTCCATTTGTGTAACTTAGTCATAACGTTTCTAAAATTCTGCATTTATTCTACGAGTTAAGACTACAGATCTTCTTGAAATTCAGCTTTTGATAAAGTACTATTGCTACAGCTTAAGAAATAATAATACAGTTCTATACTTAAATAATTTAAGAATTTCACACTAATTACTGAGCACTTGCCTTATAATTGCCATTAAAACAATTTCAGAAGGAAGCAAAGACTAAAAGCATTTCTCTGAGAAAACGTGAACAGTATGATGCAGTTTGCTTGTGTACAATATATAACACATGGGTATGTAATACTATGCACCAGAATTAACTTCAGCAAATATTCTTGTTTCCTCATAAAGTCAGTTATTGCCAAGAAAAAGAACATCACACCAGGACATTCTTTGTGCATTTTTTTTGTTTTTTCCAAGTATTTGAATTTGTTGCACAAGAATAAATTTCTCAGCTAAATCAGTATCAGCTGGTCAGAAGCTAACAAATCTAAACCAATAAATGGTACACCTTTAGAAGAGCTTCTAAGCAGGTATGTGAAAAACTGCAATTCCTGCCAAAAGATTAGAAAGATATTTCATAACTCTATTAATGCTGGTATAAAAGTTACAGCAATGAGCACATACCTTCATAAGCAGGATTAAAATATGAGACTTCTATAAAAAGTAATTGCAAATCTCACAATTTTATATTTCAAGTAAAGCACATAGTTTAAGATTCAAATTGATTTTACAGTGACATGAAATTTTGTTCCATGTGTATTTTTTATTCCCATAAAGGAAAAGCCTATTACAAAACAGATACCAAAGTCTATTTTCTTCAAGACACAACATTACTGACCTCCAGTCTGATGCAGATACTTTGTTATATGAAAGAAGCATTTTGGTCTAGTTCTGAATAGATTACATCACCAAGTCTGGAAGTAAGGGCAGTTTATTTACAAAAATGAATAATTTTTTTACAACATCTTGTATTGCATATCCTGTGGTGCCAGTCTCCCTAGAAACTCATGAGAGCAGGGAAATAGAGAAATCAGTAGAGTAAGAATTGAAAGAATAGCTTAAAACTTGGAATCTATCTGCAGGTACCTGCTGACTAAATGGCTTGCTCTGAGAAAAGATTAAAAAACCCTAAGTGGTTGTATTCCTATAAAACTCCTTTCCCAAAAGCCCACCCACTACTGAAACTACAGTACACAAGGTTGGCTTCTTCATGAGGAGATCCACGTTCCTCTCAGTTTGTGGTCTGCAGTCATTACCAGCTTCTGACAAGTTTCCAGCAGTGTTTACCTATAACTTGACATTTTCAAGACTTTTTTCTGAAGTAACTCAGGTAAAGGACATCTTACAAACTAGGCAGATGTAACTTGCACAGTCTGTAATACTGCTACATACTGAAGTCAAACAGCTTCACCAAAGCTGCTTGATGTGACACATACCTTCCAACCCGTGAAGAAAGAAATGTTTGAAAGGCTGGAAGAACTGAAATAATGGAGCAGCACTGTGTGGAGACCACAAACACAGCCACATTACACCTTGTGTAGTTCCTGGTCCATAGGGTCCAACTGGATGTCTAAATGTCTCTCAGCAGAGTGTGCAGAAAGAACAGGGAACCTTATTTCACTATAGTTCCAAACAGCAGAAAGGGAACAGGATGGAAATTGGACAAATGAACTGTCCTCTGAAGTCCTGGTGCATATTCAGGATTTCATTTGGTCCAGTATAAATGCATACTCATAAAAATTAAGGAAATGCCAATGTGCACCCCAATTTTCTCTCACAAGAGAGAAATAATCCAGAAAATCTCTGAATGATGGATAATACTTCAATAAAAGAGTTAACAATATTCAAGTATTAGAGTGCATTATTTTACATTGCAACTATGCAATAAATCTCCCCTGGTCATTAACACTTGTTACGTCACTAATTATATATTTACAAATATAGATACCTTTAAAAAATAGCTACTACACTCTTCAATAACACCCAGGATATATGTCTTTCTTTGCATATAGAGGTATTTAAACAAAAAGACTATAGTTATTTCCTACAAAGTCAAGTCTGGTAAACTCATAAAAATCTGGACATAACAGTGATATTGCTTCTCCTTTCACGACACAGCAACCTGCAGGATTATAATCTATTTTACTGATAAAAAATAGCATTTTCAGAATTCATGCATATCTGTTTTTCTTGAGCAGCAGTGTACTGCTCTCTCAGAAGGTATAAGTGCTCCCTGACTTCTCTCCCCCAGCTCTACCACACATTTACAGGACTGCTCTTCATTCTTAAAAAAGTGCTAAAATCCAAAAAAACCCTCTTGAACAAGCATCTCCTTGTTGTAAAGAGGCTGTAGCCTTAATAGTTTCACTTACAGAAAAGAACAGTCAGCACCATACTGAATTCCTAAAACTTGTACTTACGGAAAAGACACAAGACTTAAAAATTCGATTCCTGCATTCCCAGCTTAATTTTTCAGGGCACAGATTGCAGAAAGTACAAAGATCTTATGTCACACCATTGATAACACTTCTACTTGCTGCCAGATTGACAGCTATGTTTAAGATTTACTATTTTAAGTCACTACAATCAAACTGAAAATCTTCAGTTAACCAAGGGTTTTTCTTGCTTTGAAAGATGTACTTGAACACTTCTCTAGTTTGTAAACCATTTGAGAAGGGATGTTGCAAAAAACCCATTGCTTTCAAAAGGTAACACATTGAAATTGTTTCAAATCTTCTACTACTTCTTAACTTCTGTTTTTCTTAACACCAGAAAGAACCTAAGTTCATGGCTTCAAATATGTTTCAAGAATAAAAAGCTCGCTGATCCTTAAAAGGGGAAAAATCTGAAATATAATTTCCTAATTAAACCTATTAAGGGGAAAAAAAGCACCTTCTGCTCCACTAGCAGTTTGCAGAAGAGCAGCAGAATGCTATTTCAGAAACATCCCTGATAAAGCCAGTACAAGACAACACTTCCAATGTAGCAGACATGCAGAAAATAGAACAGCTATTTTGATATAAATTCAAGTTATGACAAAACCCAAATACTTACATTTGGGAACAAATTACAATAATGACAGTGGAAAACCTAAGTCAGTACGATATGTTACTATCAAGATAGTAACAAAGTCAACAAAAAAGCCAGCTCTGTCTTCTAAACAGGTGGCCACTGAGTAAGGTGGGAACTATAGACCGAACAAACTAAAAACAAAACAAATTCGACATTGATTTCCTAATTAAAGAGGTAGAGGTCCTGAAGTGAGATACATAATGTAACTTAAGACTATCACATTGCATGCACAAGATAGCAAAATTAAAAATTCCCAAGGTCAGCTTACTGAAACCTCCAAATGTCAGGAGACAACCCCAGTTAAAACAACTATGTCTGAAGTACCCTCTCCATACATAGCATGAATACCATTGGAGAGAACACCTACAAAAAAACTAAATGCTATTTGCTTTTATACCCGTGACTAACTACAGACCCAGCTTGCATGACACTTTCAGCAACTGAAGTATGTGCTCAAATATTTCTGTTTACAAAACAGAATGGTGCATGCCAAGCTGTGATGACTCATTTCACTTAATTAGGTCAGTAGCAAGTACTGTGGCAAAACCTACTTGCACTTAGTATCCAGTGAATGGGAAGGGGATGGTTTTGTCAATGACCCTGTGCCTAAGATCACTACAAATTTGTCTTGTTTGATTAATAACAATCAGCAGTGACTGAAGGCCCAGAAGTTTTGCTGAACTGCATATAATTTATAAGCTTTGAAGTTCTAGAGACTTTCCTCTCAACCATGTGAATTTAGATGGGTTCAAACTTAGGAGTGGTATTTTGTGGCAGTAACATACTCCAGTGTTCCTCTGTAAACTTTTATTAGAGAAGTGTCTGTTCCTATTAACACAATACTACTATCACCACTTCTCGTTCCCAGCATTACCTCTAGAGAAAAAAATTCACTACTAACAGCCCTATGTACAGTATAAACTTGATGACAAAATTATAAAAATTCACATTACAGAGTTACTAAATGGTATATAAAGAATTACAAACATTACACAATAGTTCAGTGCAGAAAGAAAAATAAGGATGACTGATTTCATAGAACAGAACAAGAATTTCTGTTGTTTTATTCACGATTCACAAATGACCCATCAAAACACTAACAGAAGTTCTTCTGAGCATGCTAATGAACCACCCTCTCACCCTTATTTGCTTTTTATTTACAGTTGCTTCAGTGACTATGCAAAAACTGTTCTTAAGCTTATTTAAAAGCTTTCAGGGAATCAGTATTCGGTCACTCACTTCACAGTTACAGTTGAAGACATACAGGGCTTCAAAACAAAGATTATTTTTTCTGAAAATTATAATGAATATTCTACAAAGGAAAACTACATATCAACTAATGATCTCACTTTCCAGTATAGGCAGAAGATGTATGGGATAAATATTTTTAGAAGCTATTGAAGAATGAAATTGTGTTTAAATCACTAAACTTAAAACTTCTCTCCTTAGCCTGCTATCAGCTGCTTCTAACAGTACCTAATACTGTTTATGTTGTTACCAGCTTTGCACTTGAAAGACAAATAACAGCAACAATGCTCTACTGTATGAGTATTTTGTGTACTATTTGTGCAGTTTGACAGCATCTTTTGTAGGCCTTAAAAGCTTTATTTATACTTGGAACAATTTGTTGAATTATTATTGAATATATTTTGTGAAATGTAACTTATTTATCATAAAAACAACTGTCTCAGAACTAAGTTTTTCTTGCTTAATTTTCCATAAAGTTTTAACATTTTTTTACACTCTTATTGCTGAACAATGAGACAAACTCACCTAGCTCTCCAAAAGTGAACAGCCAGCTAGGTAGGATACAAGCTACATGAGCAGCACAGGGTTTCCACAATATCCTCTGTTACATACTGCCTCTGTGGGTCCCTCTTCACTAGCTCAAACATTAGCAAAGAGATTTGCTTAATATAAGATATAGGACTTAACAACAGCAAAGCTTTTGCGTGGACTGCACAGCAGGTTGAATTAAAAAAACCAAATCCGGAAGAACTCACACTCAAAAGTACTACAAAAGAGAAATTAAAGCAAATGAATCAAGTATAAAAGAAATAAAAGAAAAAAGAAATTAAAGCAAAGCTGTTTATAACTCCCTGTAACCAAAGTTACACAACTAAAAAAAAAAAAAAGGTAACAGCAGGCAGAGATAAAAGAACAGCAATAAGCTCTGGCCTCTTTCTCTCATTTCTACAGCTAGCAACAGCAGCAGTCTAGATTTGTAAACAAAAAAATCCCAAATTTTTTAATGGGTATCCTCCAGTAGGACTTTACAACATTTCTGTCCTTCAGCCACAAAACATATGCAGAGTAAAACAGTAAAAAAAACCCAAATCAAACAAAAAACCCCAGGGTTTTGATAAAACAATTATCACCATGATTATAAAGGACTTCTGAATTTCTTTCTACAGGCATAAACACACAAGACCATTCTGATTATACTCATTTTGTCAATTCTATACACAAAAAGTAATTGCCACATGTCCCTTGAGTTTAGCAAACATTTTATTAAAATTGAAAGAATATAGAGACGAAGGTAGAGAAACCCATTAAAGCAATAAAAACCAGTACTCTAAGTCCATAGAAAACAATTACTCCATTATAGAAAAATCCAAGAAAAATACCATTCTTTACAGCATTACATCCTGATTTAGTATGTAGACAAAGTATTCATGTACCTAATTGGAAACAAATTTTACTCTTGGCAAAGAGCAAAGCTAGAGGAGGAAGGAAGAGCAAAACAGCAATGCTTATATAGGAACCACATCGAGTAACTGCCCCCAGACAAATTGTATGTGCACATTATAGCAAAGACAATAGGATATCACCCTCTCCCAAGGTCATACGTACAGAAAGATGTTGTTTAACAGGATAAAGGGATCAAATATTTTTGTCAAGTAAATAAAGGATCACAGTTCATCTGTTTACAGAATTTCAGATGTTATGGTCTATTCTTACCTTTTGCAGACTAGTAGGATTTAGCTGGGTTTTATCTATTATTTTCACAGCAACCTTGGTTAAAAGAAAAACAAACATGAATTACTAAACTCAGAAAAAGGTCTGAACAAAAATATATTGCACCACTGTGAGCAAAAGCATAGATTCACCTCTAAGACATGCATATGCATCTACTTCTATACATTTCATCAAGCAAAACTGTATAACCTATGAGGATGTCAGAATTTTGCCAGCAAGGAATTTGTTTTATACTTCTGTCAGTGTTTGGACAGAACAATGTTATCTTGTCCACTGCAAAACCAGGCTCTCCTAACACAGGATCTATCAACAGATTATCAATATCAATGGAATCTACCCGTCAATGTATTTCTCTTCAGTTTTGGAAATGCTTGGGGATGAACAGACCCTCTCCCAGACCCAAAATACCCCCTGATGCACAACAAACTTTTTGATCTTTCCCCAGGAAGCTATGTTTTAAAAAAGGAGGTGGGTGGTTAGGAGAAAGCATCTCAGTTAACTTCTTCTATATCCTGAAACAGCCTCTAGAAGAAATACTAATTATAAAGATAGCCAAAGGGAACATAAAACAGACTGTCAGACTTTTTTTTAAAGGCTTACCTCTCTTCCAGTAAGCACATGCCTTGCCAGTTTCACTTTGGCAAAATTTCCTTTTCCTATTGTTTTCAGTAAGCGATAATTTCCAATGTGAGGATGCTCTTCATTTGTAGATGTAATGGAGTTTCTACATCGGGGGATGTTTTGTCTGCTACTTGACTTGATAGGCTGGACATGTGGTTCAGTGTATCCATCCACAGAGGTATGCTGGAAGGCAGACAACATAGTTGGGAATTTAGCTACTTGGGTTTTAGGCAGTTGCAACAGAATAGACTAAAAGCATAAAAAGGTGCAGAGGGGAGTCATTTATTTACTTTTACAATATAACTGATAATTTTGGACAGCAGCCTAAGGGGAACATGCTGTCTTTGGGCAGAGTTTGATCTGTGTCCCATGTAAAAAAGCACGCAGAAAGATTTTACCAGCTCCAAAACTAAAACTAGAGACATCTAGGCAGTAATCAACAAACCATTACAGACCTTTCTAAAATATGCTCAAATACACAGTATAGCACTATGTTGCCTGTCTAATCATAATCAAATTTAGTCTTTTAAAAATACACAGTACAAAATATACTTGTACTTTGATATATTTGGAAACAAGGTTTTACTCCATTTTTTTTCTTAACTTTCTTCACTCAAATAACATTACCAAAAAATTTTTTTTCAAGTAAGCTTTGCTCCCCAAACATGTTGCCATCTTTTTGTAAGTAACAGAAGTTCTCATTCCAGTAACAATCTACATTTTTATTTAAAAATACCTATTCTTTAAAAGTCTGTGATGTCTCATAAAATATTTTAAGTCTCAAAAGTCTGAAGAACTAAAAGGAAGTTATTTTTAATGCATGCCAACACATCATCCCACATTAGATGTTAGTCACTGAAATCTGCAGTGCTTCTGTACTCTAACTTCCAAGTACATAAGGGGCAAGATACAGATGGGGCTTGGAAATGTTCCAAGGAGAAATCAAAGTAATGAAAAATATCAAAGGGGTGGTAAGTGTTTCAGTATTTCAAATACTTTCTAACAGTGGCAGATGGGGACAAACGTTTAACAGGTATAATTTAGCTTCTAATCTTTCAAGTTACAGATTTTTAAGGCTGGCAAATACTGGAGGTAGAAACAGTGTCTTCCCAGATCACTTTTTAGATTTTATAACAGAAAGGTATGCTTACTCCCAGCTAAGTATAAAGCACCAACAAAGCTCAAGAGACACCTTAATATTTTCCCATTACTGACTGCCTCAATCAAAAAGTGAATATCTGTGTTCAGAGCACTAACTGAGCCTGTTTCTAGATCCTTGACCTTAAGCAGACTGAGGGCAGCCAGAGATTTCACTGTTTCTCCCAATACTCAACCTAACATTGTTCTCTGCTGATCTCACCCCTCATTCCTTATGGAATTAATTATTTTAGTAAACAAAATAGAATTTAAATCAGTACTTCCAGCATCAGTGTGCATTTATTATAGACTGAAGACAAACCCATCCTGTAAACACTCAGGCTTACAGATAGTCCCATTGAACCAAATGAGATTATTTCAGGACATAAGCACTGGTGGAATTGGGAAAACTAGCAAACAGCTGCAACACAACCGGAAAAAACAAGGAGTTTACCACAACCAGAATGTTCTTCCCAAATGTAGCACAACTCTGCTTACATCATCTCCAGCATTATTAATTATTCACTATGGCCAGGAGAATGGCCCTAAATATAATTTTGTTTGTCTTTTCATTACCTGAGTCTCTCTGCAAAACACTACTAGACTCCCACTGCTAAACTGTTGTCCAAATTAGTGGGGAACCAAGCAAGCCAGGCATGTTTAGATTCTGTATATCAGACAAATTTATTCAGCCATGAAATAACATGCTAGTAATAGTATTTACCTTTTAGAAGCACATAATTAAAATATTTTCTGTGGACTTGGAAAGAGAAGATCAGAAGGACAGCCTCAGGCAAGAAGGCTTGGAAAAATTCCTTCAAAATCGGACACTAGTCTCACATGTGATAAGCCACAGCCCAAATAAAAGTCTTCCCTAAAAATACACCCTGCGAGATCAGTATCTGTATGGTGCTAATAACGGATATTTTAGCTGTACCTAGAATCCCGTCTGGAGCTACAGCACTGTGCCACACGAGCAAGTTTTGAAAACTTTTGAGCCTGTTTACACACGGAATTACATCTTCACTACAGGAAATACAATGCCTACCAGAAGCATTAGCAACCCTAATATCAATTGCCAGTTTCCTATGCTTCACGGATTAGCCTCCTCCCAGTAGATAGCTGGAGAGATGTCTTAGATAAACAGTTGGATAGGCAAGCTAAACCAGTGCCATGGACAAAGAACAAGAAGGCCTCACAGGACAGATCATTTTAATGCAGATTTAACAGGGAAAATATCATTTAATCATAATGGCAATATAGCAGAGTATCAAATCTGAAGAGGGAAAAAAAATTAACAAGGTTCATGGTCATGATGATTCTGGATTTTGGTCTTTTTGTGACAGAAAAACTAAGCCAGCCTACATGGTTCCTAATTATTCCCTCTTAAACAGATTATCTTCAGAGTCAACCATTCTCCCTAGCTATGCCAAATGATTACAGAAATCATGCATAAAGAAGGTCAAGTTTCCTAATTTGTGAGCCATATATAAATAAATACATACAATTTCTGAATTTGAACAACACTGAATGAAATTCAAATTATTCTTAAGTCTTGTAATAGGCCTCTCTTCTGCACATAAACAGCTTGCTACTGTTGGAAAGTACAGAGGAATTTAAAGTAGAATCTCATCAACTTCTAGAAATTAGCATTCAATAAAATTACAACAAAAGCTTAAGAAGTTGAAAAAAAATTCAAGGTCAACTAACAGTATCTCAGAGACTATTTCCAAACAATACTAAAGCTGAATTTCACAGAAGCATGCAACATCCACACTGTTTAGAAAGACAGGCTACATAGTTTTAAGATCCTTCTGGTCCATTACAATACAGTCATTCATTATGCATCAGCTACTATGTGGCTATTTAAAATGCCATTTCAGTAGAACAATCTCTAAATTCTGAGAAATTTTTCAGCGTGCTGGAAACAAGGGGATAGTAAAACCCAACTGTCTTCTTGAAGTTCACTGCCATCTAAAAACAATTCTAGCTAACGACCTGAATTTCCCACACAGGATTTTAACTCAGAATTATGTTATTTCTCTACATACCCTGATCATATATCTCAATATATGTATAATGTGGTCATGAATATGACTCTCAATATATTCAGTCAGTGTAAAATAATGTCTAGAAATAAAACCAAAATTAGACATTTCTTAAAATAAAATGCAGTTTTAAACAAAAACAAGGTGCAGCAGTAACAAAAGTTTAGAGTTGAAACTATTAGAGCAGCCATTTAGGTATTTTGCACACTAATCAAGTACTTAAAAATAAGAACATAAAAACTCATGCAAAACAAAATCCACTGTGTTTTCAGAAATCTCAAAAAAGTGCTTCTAGCATCCAATTTTAAATTGTCACTGAAGAGAGCGTGATTAACACTTACTACTCCCAGTTAGGTTTGTTTCTGACACGTTCCATCAGAGTTACTGCAGAAAGCAAATGGTACTAAGATCACAAGAGAGTTAACCTGAGCCAGTGCTTCCCCAAGACTCAAAGCTATCGTTTTCTTTGTTTACCCAAGGTAACTTTGCCAAAGCAAGATGACCCGATGGCCAGACACATTATCTTTGAGAAAGTGCAGAAGAACTAACCCCACCAAGTAGGTACAAAGTGTGGGCTCCACTACTTTACATATCCACTTACTAGCCTCTGGAGTAGTATTCTCATGGATTATGCACTGTAATTAAATTTACAGCATAACCGCTCTTACAGCTTAGTCTTAAGAATTCCCCAAAACCATTCTGGCCGCCAATCCACACAGCCTTTCTTGCTCAAACAACACTGAAGGTCTCCATACTCCTTCAGAGTAAGAGGGTAATTTCCACACATCGATCTGCTGACAAACACACCTCACTCGATTAAACAAACCTTTTAGTGCTGAATTTTCCCCATCTCGAACTATCACAAGGGAAATTCCTCGGTAGAGTCAGCCCATGGAAGCAAAGCATGCACATGCAGTGCTAGAAAAGGCACATCATCACACTTCTGCTCTCAATATTATACCCTGTTCTGGACTTAAGTATATTGCAGCCAATTTTTACATTCATAACTCCTAACACTTTCAAGCATGTGCCACACACATGAGCATTTGTAACAGATGTCATATTTTGCAAATATGTGAATATTTTTCAAAATAGTTAGCCCAGACAGAGGGAGTCTGAGGGGCTGAGAAGGTCATCTTCTATATTGCTCTGATCTGCAAGAGCTTGGATAGACAATACAGGGGAAGGGGATAGAGGTGTGAATTAATGTCCTGGATGTCCAGCTGTTTTTATGTTTTAACTGCTTGTTGTCTGCAACCATTCCTTTAGGACATAGGAGTTTCCAGCAAGCCACTTAAAGCAAGTCCTCTTCTTTTACTGAAGTAACAATCAAACTAAGCTGGAAGAGTCAAATATTTTGAAAGCTCTGGGAAAGCCTCGGTGTAGAAACCAACAGAGCTGTTCAGATTGGATTGTTCTGCATACATCCGAAGAGCATCCAGAGGTCCAGGCACGCAGGTATGATGCACGGTGCAACAAGATTGTAGCACCCGATCCCTCAGCTTCCATCAGAAAAAGGAGATTGCCTCCTCTTCCAGGTACACCTCACATCTGCACAAAGCTACAGCCTACCCTTGCCCCATGTACACATCACTTCATACCACAATTACTAAAGCATTAATTTTTCCCATCTCTCAGACACACGAAGGAGTGCTTTGGAAGGGGCAATTAAAAAGATTGAATGTATGCACACAATTTTTTTCATATTTTCTTATCAATAATTAAATGCAGACTAGATTGGGAATGCATGATAGAAACTTCGCTATCAAAAAACCCCCAAAACAAAAAGCAACCAACCTTCTCCATTGAAACAGCAGATAACATGCAGGACTAAGCTCAGAAAAACTCGAGCAACAAAAACACAGAGTGAGAAAAGAAGTATATATGGATTTTAAATCAGATATCAAGGTCAATATATGGCAGAGACAGAAAAGAAGCAGACAAAATTGTGACAAAATTTAACATGTATGCATACCCCACACTTGCTCACGCATGCTT